CGTTTGCGTTAAGTTTGTGTTGGCAGTGATGCGGAAATCTATGTTATATAAAATATATAATTAGAAATGATTTCGCTTCAAATCCATTTAACGCAGAGAGCAAAATAATACACCAAGTACGACTATTTGATTTCGATTTAATGTGTTACAACGAACACGAAATGATTTTTGCAGTAGAAATAATTGATTGATAAAAAACACTTGTAAATAAAGATCCCAACAGCTGTTGAGCGTTCAGTTAACCATTCACAATAGAGTTAAGTTTTAGCAGCCAAATATAATTTCAATTTACAACTCTTGTAAATTTTGATTTTAATTTCGATAACTGCAGCTGTTTGTTCTGAAATTTTGTGAAAACTATTGGATGAGTGCATAAGTTCGTGCCCGATTCCGCAGGATACCGTTCGAATCGTTTGAGAGTGGCGCTCGTGAAAGAAATATATATATATAATATATATCATTGGAAAGATGACAGTCCGAACTGTAAATCAAGCATAAAATAACTTCATTTTAATTCGAGTTGCTTAGTGAAAAGACGTATGGAAGATGAACAACGAAAAAGATCATATGCGTCATATTATATTATAGGAATTCTGCAAAGGAAAAACAGTAGGCGCTGCAACTAAAGATATTCGTGAAGTTTATTTGGACCGTGCTCCAGCACTCCGCACAGTAAAGAAATGGTTCGCGAAATTTCTTTCTGGAGATTTTAACCTCAAAGATCAACCTCGCAGTGGACGGCCTTCTGAGCTTGATGACGATGTTCTAAGGACTTTAGTTGCAAATAACTCACGTATTTCGACGGAAGAAGTTGCCAGTAAATGGAACGTCAACAAATCAACTGCGTTTCGTAGTTTAAAAAAGGTTGGTTACACTTTGAAGCGCGATACATAGGTGCCACATCAGTTGAGTGAAAAAAAAGTGGACCGTATGTCAACAGCAATTTCTTTGCTTCGACGGATCAAAAACGAACCCTTTTTGGATCGGCTCGTGACTGGTGATGAAAAATGGATCCCGTACAACAATGTTCAAAGCAAAAGAATATGGAAACAGGCATACGAAGGGCGGGAACCGATGTCGAAAGGTGGATTGCATCCGATGAAAGTACTGCTGTGAATTTGGTGGGATATCCGAGGCGTGAGCTAATTTGAGCTCTTGCCAGCTGGAGAAACGATCACTGCCAACAAGTATTGTCAGCAATTGGTCGAATTGAAGAAAGCAATTGATGAAAAACGTCCGATTTTGGCCAATCGCAAAGCAGTTCTTTTCCATCATGACAACGCCAGGTCACATGTTGCAAAACCGACCCTGGCCAAACTGAAGGAGATGAATTGGGAAATCGTGCCGCATCCCCCATATTCACCCGACATTGCACCTTCTGATTATCATTTGTTTCCATCGCTGCAGAACAATTTGAATGGAAAAAAATTTAAAAATGTGGAAGACGTCAAAAACCACCTTGGCACCTTTTTCAACGAGAAACCGCGCGATTTCTATGAATCAGGCATCCTTAAATTTGTTGAACGTTGGGAGTGGATTGCCGAACATGATGGCGAATACATAATTGATTAATAAAAGCGCTTTCTTCAAAAAATTTCAATTTTAGTTTACACTTGAAATTGGGCACGAACTTATGCACTCATCCAATATAATTATATAATTTGTGATGTCAATAAATGAAGGCGTGAAAGGAACACGCTCGGAATGTTACATGTTGCGACGTTGTGCGTTGAGATAGATACCCATTTTTTGGTTAACACCACTAAAGATGTTTCAATAAAGCTATTAATATTTTTTTATTCGCTTAAACAGTTTTTTGAACCGTGCAGAATAGGGTACAAAAGGATTGAAGCGTGTCTGAAAATTTTTTTTATTGATATTTAGCGCCTTTTTACCGAACGCTACAAGCCGCTCTGCAAACGTCAACTTAACTTTGAACAGGTTTTTTTTCAAGAAATGCGTTTTTAGAAAACAGCAGAGAGCATAACTAAAATAATTTTTAAATTTTTTAGTTTGGTTTTTCCCAAATCACTCTAATAATATTTCAAAGCGGATCAGGTAGGCCATTTTTAATTGAATTGTCATTGTAATAAAAACATAAATGCCAATACTCTGGTCAAAATATTGGTTTTTCTTCAAATACTTGTCAATTACATATAAATCAATATTTTTTTTAAATTCCTTACGCTGTTTTTTGTAGATTAAGAAAAAAAATTATTTTATTTCGGAGCCTCTGAGCTGCATGCCGCACAGCCCATTCAAGAGAGAACATAATTCTGCAATTTTGTTATATTTTTTATTGTAAATATGATTTTATTTTTTATTTTAGTATGAGACTAATAAGTTTTCAAGACAATTAAATTGTATTCCCTTCCTTTTCGTGAAAAAAAAATTCTTTGAAGACAAGTGATTTCTTACTAACCTATCAGAACCTGTGTTTTTCACTCGTTTAATCTATTGCTTCCGGGCGTGTTTTTAATATCGTTTTTCATGAATTTTCGTCATTGAATACGCTTAAAAAATAGTTCGCACAATTTCTTATCAATTTAACTATGTAAAATTCAGCTCAGATAGCAAAGGAAAAAGTCTTCAGCGAATCACCTTTCTCATTCTCTCCCACTATACCCAAAATAAAAATATAAATAAAAAAAATTCTGTCTGGCCCGCTTTTTAGTCCGGAGGTATGATGGGGTCTTGCTTCTTGTGGGGCTACGCAAAATATCGTGTTTATACGGATAAATATTTAACTCTGGAGCACTTGAGTATCAACTTTCGTCAAGTTATGGCTGAGATACCGCCGAATATGTGGCAAAAAGTGGTGGAAAATCACCTCGAACGGATCGAATAAAGAAGTCATTAGAGTAATTTAAATGATATAATGCCAAGGTTTAAACTTTAAACAGAAAAGAAATTTCGTGAAAATATTATTTTAAATGAATTTTATTTACGTTTACCCCCAAAGATATAAACCCGTATAAATATACTCATATTTTAAATAGTTTGCCCTTTCGTGTATTTTCAAATTTTGTTTTAAATTCAAAATATAATTAATTTGATGTTTTTTCAACAAATGTCATGGTAAATAGTTGCGGAAAATTTATAATCGATTTTTTACATCAACTATGAGTAACACTGTTAACTATTTAATTTATATTCTCATCGTTTGCATGAAAAAAAATTTTTTTTTTCCAAGCAAGAAAATTATTCCATTTAATCTCCATAATAATAAATCACGGAAATCTTTCACAAAACTATAATTAATTCCGCTTTAATTATTTTCATTCAAATCATAATCCGCATCTACACCAACATCAATAAAATGTATAATTCCATTTGAACTTCAGTAACATTTCACACTCAACGCTGCCACTCAATCCGCCATCATTAATTACGTATACGCCGCGTACGACAAATTTAAATATGCATAAAGTATATTTCATATAATTAAAAGCTTACGAACAAAAAAAAAAGAGTATACAAAATGTGAGGTTTAGTTGACATGAAATGATGATGTTGATTTACATACATACATGAATGTTAATACAAAAAATAATTGAAATGAATGTGAGTGATGAAAGTGAGAGAAAGATTTTGTGCTACATAATAATTACAAATGTTTACCTTTTTTCATTGTACAACTCAACAAAGTGCTTTTGATTTAAAATTGTAAATTTGCATATTGTTAGTAGTGAAATTCAAAAGCAAATACATACAGATAGTATATGTGTGTATATGTGCAAAGGTGCATATGTATTCTGCTAGTAAATATGGAAGTAATATGTAATATATAAGAATTCATACAAAGGCAGCACCCAACGCACATACCTTTATACATATATTCCCCTTAAATTTGCACTCAAAGTACAAATACAATATTATTTTGCACTTTTAGTCGTTGTAGTACATATGTATGTATTTTTGTGGTTGAAAGCTTGCTGAATTGCTTATATGAAAATATGCAAAGTTTGTGGCTTCCATTTTGCTTACAGAAGTTTTAAGACACATTTCAGCACACTTATCTTAGATAAAATACATTTTTTTAAATATTTGTATATATATTAACTTTTTTAAGTATGTGTATACAGTGCTTGTGCTTATTAAATATCTCTACCTTAAATCGTAGCTTAAGGTTAAAACCTTAAAGTTAATAAAAAAAAAAATTTACAATTAATTTCTTTTGTTTTTACTATCTTATATTCACATCAAAAATTTATTAATATATATATACACATATTTACCCACATAGTATAATGAAAGTAAAAAAAAAAGTCGACTGTCAATTTACTTGACAATTCGTAGGTATTCTGTGCCACACACGAGGGAATAAGTCGATGCCATGAAGTTGAGTAGAAAAACTCATTACATACACATATTCACATATTCACGTATTCCACTTCTGAATTTTTGCTTATGTGTAAATTTATAAATTAAATGTTTATCTCATTTTTGCTTTCATAAAAGTTTTCTAGGGTATATTTTACACTAAAATTTTGGGTTTGCTGTTAATTCCCTAAGATATAAGTAGATTTGTACATAAGCAAATTTCAAACGCATACTAAACATTATTTTTATACCTAAAAAACTTTATATCTTCAAATATTTGAACACTAAAAATTTCTCTATTATATTTTTATTCTACTTATTAATTTAATGTTATAAATATCTTTCAAATACAAATTATAAAGTTAATTAAACTTTACAGTTTTGTTACAAGTTTACTATATACTCGTAGTATAAAATTTATTTAAAAAAAATCCTCAAAACCATTACCTTAAATATATACTAATTACAATTTTTATTTTTCTCTTTACTTATATGCCAACTCGCTGATGCATTATGTGTCACCTTTATCACCATACCACACTTCGTAACTCAATGCCAACTTTATACTATTGTTATTCGTGCCCTTCAACAATTGTAATCAACTTTATGCAAATCTCGTTCGCCTTCGCCTTCGTTGCATTTACAAAACATAACCCAAATCCAATGGTTTACAATAGGGTGCCGCTAAGCTGACAAAGGAGGACATCGAAAAAGTTTTCTCCCTCTACGATCGGGTAAGTTGCGCATTGTGAAAACTTTTTCAAGAAAGTTGCGAAAGAAAAATTTGCGTAGAAATAATTTTTCTTCAACATTTATGTGGCAACATCTGAAGCTGTTTGAACTTTTCTTCTTTATTTAACTATTTATTTTGCATTTTTGTGCATTTTTCGAATGGGAGAGAGGGTGTAGGGAGGTTGGCTGTAAAACAAAGGAAGCAGACTATTCAATTCTATTCAATCTTTATTGTTTTACTTTTTATTAAAGTAACTTTTCGGTTCGCACTTCATGCTAATCAAATGTGTGTTTCAAATTCCACTTTTGAACTATATTGAGATATTTATAAAATTTTTTTCTGGCAAAGCAAAATGGAAAGGTAGTAAAATTGTATTTCTTTTTTTTCTTGGTGTGAGAAAAATGAGGACTAATTTATTTTTTATCAAATTATTACACAATTGCTGGTGTTTTTATATAAAAATAAATTTTTTTTTTTGAAAATCATAAAATATTATGTAGTTCACAACAGAATTAAACGGTTTTTACTATATATTTTTCGGATGCTATTCTCTTCAACATTTTACATTTTCTTCATTCTCAGTTACGGCTAATTTCATTCTTATATTCCACTTCTGAGTTTTAATTTAACAAATTTAGATATTATATATTTCTTAGGTAAATCACGACGAAATTGCCCACAAATATCTGAAAATAGAAATAGGATCTTTTCTTATTAGCTTTTTTTAAATTTTTCGCTTACCTGCTTGCAGTTTTTGGTTGCATTTTCTTTGAAATTGGCAAATAATTGAATTTCAACAGAGAGTCTAGAAAATTTTCATATCTGCAATGGACAAAACAATATAAATTAAAGAGCTTAAAATAAATCTATAAATAAATTCAGATTTTTTTCATGTCTTCTTTAAAACAATAATTTAAAAGTCAGTAAATTGGCAAGTTGAAATGAATATGTTATATAAAAGCCCCTTATGGTATTTTAACGCCAACAAATGTGCTTTTAGACCATTCCAAAGCATATTTGCTTGATTCATTTGAATTTTAAATTATATAAGTATCATTGGCAGCATAAATTATGGAAGCAAAAAAAGCTCACTTTATTCGATCGATCTGGACTTGAAATCCTCTCTAAAATTTATTTTCATTGGTATAAACACACACACATACATACGTGAAGAAGCAATCACAACACATTAATGAAATTTCGCACTTCAATGAAGCTTATTTCACTAAGCTGCTCACAGACCATCAGTAAAAATAAATAAATAAATAAATAACCAAATGAATAAGTAAAATTGAAAAGCCACAAGTGTGTTATGGTAACATGTATTTTGTTTTAGTAATAAATATCAATGTATGTATTGTAAAGTGGTTGAGAAAAAAAGGCTAAATGGAAGAGTGGAAACAAAAAAAAAAAAACAAAAAAATAAATAAAAGAAGTACTTAAAACTTTGCATAAATTTTAGCTGTCAGTATCATTAAAAATTCAAAACACTTATCACTTGTAGGCTTTTAATGTAGAAGTTGAAAAAAAAAATGTTTTTGGGAAAAACCAGCTGCATTGGTTAGTAGATTATTCCAATAATGGCAAATACTCGTAATGGCGCTGGTAATCAAAATATTGCCACTTAAAAAAATAGCGAAGACAAGAAACAGATTTGTGTTAACAAAAAATACCAATAACACAGTCAGCATATTTGCACGTGAATTATTCAGACTTGGTATTGCGTAAACCCAAACTCTCAGCTGTATGCGATGGTTTGGGTCCCCGGACATGGTGACGGAAAGTATATAATCGTAACAAGAATAAATTCTGCATACGATGTAGCCATACCTCTTTGTTCTGCTAAATACCTGCTAAGATCTGCCTTCATCAGCAAATCCAATAACATATGTCAGCGTGAAGTGATATGCAGATCTGGAAATTAATCGTTACAAAGAGAAACAAGTCTCTACGCCTGCTAAATAGAACCTCCACGACCATAACAATCGGCGTAGTTACCGAACACTATTTGATGGCGATGCATGGAAGAGGAAGAGGGCTGAGTTACTTCTTTAATGACCTCAGTCATGGCTGCAGAGCCGTAGATGAGGCGGAGTCTACGGAGCACTACCTCTGCCTCTGCCGTGTATTAAGTGAAGCCCGACATCAGCAAACGTCGTCAAAAATCTCGTGGGTACCATTAAACAGATCAAGTGGTTGCAACATCTAGAAAGAAAATAGTAATTATTCTTCTTCCAAGTTTTTGGGGCATCAGAATGGGTCTTAGTCAGGTTTAACTATAATCAATGCATTAGATTGGTGGCCGCTACAACCCAAACTAACATACATATAAAAATACAAATTAATTACGACATCGTACATTTCTTTATCTTGAAATAACACGCTTTTGTTCATAACCTAACCAATTTTGCAATAATAAACTTTTACGGTTATCGTTTAATTTATACTGATACCAAAACCAATTTCATTTCCTAGCTTGTATTTTCAATCTAAAATGGAAAGCCACAAAATCCACACACTACACGCAAGGTTAACTGGGAATACAAACAAAATACGCTTCAAAATACCGATTTTTATGTATGAATCTAACTACACATATATAAGTGCAATTTAAAGTCAAAACACAACATATCCGCAAACAAACTGAATTACGAGTAAAGCCAAAAAAACTGAAAGAAAAGAGAAACTGGCACAACTGAGTTCTTTTTTTCTCTCGCAAACCGCCAATACTCAGCGGCAACACTTCGATACACACTTGTACAAATATATTTACTGCCCAGAATTATATACAATGGAATACGCCTTACAGTGAGCTATTATATGCTTTATTGTGTGATTTGATTACGATTGTTAGTTTGGCCAATGTAGGCACTCATTGCTAGCATACACTTCACTTTATGTTGGGTTGAGTGCGGTCAATTGTTTTGCCATTCAAACAAACTGAATGGCGCATTGAACACTAGAGCCAGTACCGCAGTGGAAGCCACAGCCACGGTCACACCAGGATTTGATTAGTGTTGTATATATTTCTATGTATGTATGTATGTATGTATGCTGATTGTAAAATCAGCAAAAGAATATCTCTACGCATAGGCAAGCCACTTTTTATTGGATTAGGTAGCTGTGATTTCCTTAAAACCCACGCAGCCACAAAGCAGGCAATCAAACAATTCTGCAACACACATACATATGTATGTACATTCATACATACATACATATGTACGTATGTGTAAAGTTGTGTTATAGCATTCTGTTTGAAATCTCCTTGCAATACGCTCAACTGGATGTATTAGAATCTCATTCGCTATTCCACGAAATCGCTGCAAGAGGAACTTAACTGGCGTTGTTATGTGGCTTAAGGCAGCACTTTTTTTTATTGGCAGCACTTGGGAAACAAATTCTTTAAGCATTGCTTTTCACATTAATTTCACATTTTTATTTATTTAATACCAATATAAAATTAAATGTCAAAATGTTACTTTGCGGAAAGGTGGTATTAGCAACAGTTATCGACTTTCGATATCATTGAATCACTTTACACCAAATTATCGAAAGCGCTTTAATTACTTTACTTCATTTATTCAAGTCATTGGGAACTTAGAAAAGATTACTCTTTTAATTTTTTTAGACTTTTTTATATCTTTTAATATACTTTAAATAGAGGGTGCCTTTTTAAGACATAATTTTTTTAGACTTTTTTATATCTTTTAATATACTTTAAATAGAGGGTGCCTTTTTAAGACATAAATGTTATGGCCCGTAATTTAGCTTCATTGTAATAATAAGAGTTTGCCTATATATTTCAAAAAAATATTCGGACAACGTAAACGCCGCCGCTGGATCCAATAAATTCCAGTCGACAAACGGTTTCACATAACCTCACAAAAATAGTCCAGCGGAGTTATCTCAAGACATAAATGAAAGCGCTCACCCTTAGTTTTCTGCAATGAGTTGATTATTTCGTTGCCTCTACGGCTGGTAGCGAGGTCTGGTTGGAACTAAAGGTCGGTCAACATCCTCCAATTGAGGCACGGAAAAGTTATTAATTACAGCTCCATATCGTTTCCCATTAACCATAATGACCGGTTTCATTTTTAGGCAGAAGTACGTAACGATGATTCTCTTTTGATCATTGAGCACACCAAACAGTGACGTTTTGATAATATAATATAACGGCGGTCGCAATATCCTAGGGGCTAGTTAGCTTTTTTGTATTGGTATTCCTTAAGCCAGTGTTCGAGTCTTGGTTCGAATAACAACCGCAATTTTTTTTCAGGGAATGTCTAGTCCTTGCAGTATATTTTTGACAAGAAAAGCTCCTCATAAAATGCCAGCAGCCATTCGAAAGTGACTAATTATAATCTGCAAGTCTCTCTATTTGTTACAGACACCACAAATTGGAGGGGGAGCTCGGCCGGAAATCGATTCAGCCCTTACAAAATGCTTATTATGTATATAACGACGTATCACCTTGTCGGACTACAATACACAAAGTGGTAAAAAAATTGAGACAAATTAGTGATGTGAGGAATAAAACATGTGCACATCACTGTTGTAGCCCGAACTATTGAAGAGAACCTATGTTGGTACACTCCTTTTCGTTCTTTGGAATTGGGCATTCCACAAATATCATTACAAAGTATTTTGCATTAAGGCTTAGGTCTTCAGCCCTATCATGATCCGTTAACACAAAAACCCCCGTCTAGCCGATCACCAACAATGTCGTGTCTTCGCTGACACTCATGAAAATTCTTCGGAATTACAAAGAAAATCATCGATAGCTACCCCAAAAAGCAAAACTGTCGTTTCTAGGGCTCGGAAAATCCAATATTTATTGTTGAAAAGCCCCACCATCCTCGTAGGGTTGATAACCCGGCGGAGTCAATGCACTTCACTTTTTAGAAAATGACACGGGAACAACAGTTACAGTGAATGAATTGCGCGATCGAGAGATGATTAATGACTTTTTATGACCGGAATTGGATTGCATTGAACTGGACAACGTTTACTTTCAACCAGATGGCGCCACGTGCCATACAAGTAACGAGACCATTGATCTTGTATGGTAAAAGTTTCCGGACCGTGTTATCTCTTCAAGAGGTGATTGCAATCGGCTACCGGGATCTTGTAATTTAACACCTTTCAACTACTTTCTTTGGTCTAAGATAAGGTCAACAGGCCAGCGTCGTTTCAAGATCTCAAAAATGAAATTCGAGGAAACTTTTGATTGCATCCAGCAGCGATTTGGTGATGGAAATTTTCATAAAATGCATACGGTTCTGTAAGTGTGGGCAAGGCTGCCATTTGGCTGAAATGGTTCCCAATTATTAATGGCAAATCTTTCTCTTTACATTGAGATAAATATCCGATCATGCATCTCAAAAAATGTCATTTTTCCTTTAATATCAAAAGAACATCTCTTATTGGCAAGCCCTGTAGTTAGAATAGTGCAGCGGAATTTTGTACAACTCTTGAAAGACTGCATAAAAAGTTTGTATTTTGGGTTCCACATTTCATTATGTACTTATTTCGAAGTCGAGCATGCCAAACTCTATTAAATTTTTATACATTCTTTCGATGATATGCTTGAGTAGATTTGTGAGAGTGCCAAAGCCGAAGCACAAAACATAAGCGTCGTATTTATTTTATATATACTATATACTTATAGACACTTACTTTTTTTTACACCAACAGGATAACAGTGGCTCAATAGAAAACGAAGAGCTAAAAGGATTTCTTAAGGATCTGCTGGAATTAGTGAAGAAGGTGTGTATATTCACATACTCTTACATATATACATTTTCACACTTGGGCAAATATATAAAATTTCCCCATCTGTCAGTACCAATTGTTGCTTCATAATGATGAGTTAATTTTCTGCTTTTTTCTGTTCTTTTCTTTTCACACCAAACATAGGATGACTATGATGCACAGGATTTAAAGGCTTTCGAAGAAACCATCTTGCGTGGCGTCGGTTACGACAAGGATGGTAAAATCTCACGCAAAGAACTGACAATGATATTGCTGACATTGGCTAAAATGCCACCAGAGGATGAGCAATAAGCTGTTGTTGGTATTGCATATACAAAAAAAAATGAAAAAATTAAAAATTGTACTTTTACTCCTAAAGTATTTAAGTCATATGAATGTAAGCAGCATGTGCAAATTATTTAAAGCGAAATGCAGAAATTTTGTAGTTTAAGCGAAGTTAAAACTGAAATATATATGAAGAATGAAAAATGTATTAAACAGCAGGAAAAAAAAACAAAAAAATAGACAAACCAAATGCAAACATAACCACACTTTTTTGACAGTTGATAATGTGTGGTATGGCAACATAAAGCAAGGAAAACGTTAAATAAAAATTAAAAAATATATTTAAAAATAAAAATTAAAAAAATGCTAGTGCAATTAAACGTAAATTATTGCTATATTTGAAAAAAAAAAGAAATTATTAAAATATTACAAGAATTAAAATAAATTAAAGCCTTGCATGTCGTAGCGCCAAAATACATACATACTTACATATGTAATGCGCGAAAGAGCGTAAATTTTAAGCGACAAAGCAAAATTGTACCAAACACAAGAATACAACAATAAAACATTCATCGAGGGAAATTAATTACTTTAAAATGCTGCCAATGCAAAGCAGTCAATGAAATATAGAATATGAAAATCAAAGCCAGAAATGCAGAATTTAAATGCACATTAGGTGACACTATAGCGAGACACGTGGGTGTTTCCATTAAATGAAATTTGAAGGTTTAAGCAAAGATATATACATTAAAAAAAAAAAATAATATTAAAAGAGATTTTTTTGAAAGTGTATACTGGCAACACCACCCTGTGGTATTTCGTTTTATATAGTTCTCGCTAAGAGCAGTAAAAAAAAAACAACTGCACTTTTATGACAGTATTCAACTATATATTCCTACTCTTCGACTTGCAAATAACCTCGAAATGTATATGTTTCAAAGTTAGTTTCCAAACTATTAAAAGTAAAAAAACAAAAAATAAAAACTAATTCCCTACTTACTTATAAACATAAATGTCTAGCCTTTATGTGTTACTACTTATTTATACATATATTATTTAAACAATAAATACTGAAATGTTGCAGCAAGAAAAAAAAATAAATAAAAATTACAAAAAAACCAACAGTCTACTCCAAACAAAACAAAATGTGCAAAACCGCCGTATGAGTTTGTGAAAAATTAAAAACCAGCCAATAAATGTGTATGTCCTAGCGAAAAAATATATAAACATCGATTTTATTATTAAAATATTGCATGTGCAAGAAGAAAACTTGTATTGTTTTGCAAAAAAAAAATAACATAAAATAAAATAAAATATTTATATGTATCGTATATATGTATTTTAATGTGTATTAGTTTATATTATACATTTTTTTGTAATTCATACAGAAAAAAAAATATATTTATATGTATTTTCCTATGTGGCATATTAGTAACGAATTTTTTTTAGATATACATATATGTTACTTTGTTAAAAAAAAAAAAGAAAAAAATTAATAAAATTACAAATAATAATAACGTCAGAAGTAAAAAAAAATTTAAATTTCCAAATTTTACAAATATGTCATTTTCACTTATTTCCTCGTAACAGCACATTTTTCAACGACTAGATGAAAGCAAAGGAGTGCATGGCGAAAAAATACAAACAACAAAAATATATACATATGTATATTAAAAATCTACAGTTTTTAAAACTAAAAAATTTTTTTTATAAACATTTTTTTTCGCCTATAGAAACTATCAATAATATTTTCAGCAATTAATTACATACATATATTACTTAAATGTACTTACATTTTCTATTGTGTACCTGTCATTATCATAACAAAGCTTTCATGTTAATAGCATAAATTACAGCATGTACACACGATGTCTCAAATTACTTCAATAATTCTGCGTAGCAAGGTTTTGAGCCTATTGAGGTGTGGCAGTATGACAGTTCACTACCACAGCATGTATCAAATGATATAAATGTCTCAGCTGTTCGTAGAGCTTTTTAAAAAATGTTAGACAAAACAAATGACAATGACAAATCTCTTACCAGAAAAAATTCGAAAATCTCATAATATATAATATTATATGAAAATTTACAATGTACGCATTACAAGCTTTTCCAAATGAAGCTATTCCCTTCCAAATATGGCATGCTTTCAAGAACTGCTACGATGAAACATTTCACAATATTTTAGCTTTTTGATGTCAACCATTAAGCCAAATCAAGTTGTTAGTATCACATCGCTAATCTAGCCCATGAAACGTCACTTGCTGATGAAATTAAGCTGCTACTATTAAAATAACTTTTAACAACCAAAATGACATACAACATTCAAACATCTACATATGTATATTGTACATTACGGCCCTCGGTAGTGAGCGCCCGACAAAGCGATGAGTGATTGCATAGAGTGTACGAAAAAGTGGTGGCAACAACAAGCGATGAAGATGAGCAGAATACCATTAGGGAAACCAAACGAGCTGTCAGCACTACTGTGTGCTTCCACTTTCCACATAGTCGAAACCAACCATTATCGCTATGCTAACCTTAAAAGCAAATCAATACTTGAGCATATTTCAATATCAAAATCGACAGCAAGATTGAGTAAATACATTTTAAATGAGGTAAACGAAAGGATTGCTGCCGACAAAGACAAACAGAGAGCCACCAAAGTGGTTTGACTGATGCAGGCGATAGTGTTTGCGTTGGCCTCAATTTACCAAGCTAATGCGGCTCAATGTTAATCCATGCAGCAGCCAACGGTTAGTTGCCACTCAATCATCATCAGCATTAGCAGTTGAGAAAGCGTAGACATTTTTGACGTTGTTACAAAAAAAAAAATCGGAAAATTTATGCAATAACTGTTTACTGGCTGACTGAATAGTTAAACGGTGTCGCGGTTTCTCATCTTAAGTGACATACTCATGCTTGCCATTACCCCAGTTAAGTAAGATGTGGTATTAAATGCACATAATGAGCGATTATAGCACTTGATAGCGTTTTCAATTATATATTCTTTGTGCATAAATAAACATACAAGCAGATAGACAAATATTATGCACTTAGCTCACAAAATTAAATAGCGCAGGCCTAAACGATAAACATAAAAAGGGTTGCAACGTTAAAGTAGATAGTTAAAATTGTAGTTATGTGCTTGGAAAATGTGAAAACAAAAAATAGCATGATAGTTGAAGGTGAAGATCAACGCAGTAAAATCATAAATATTTGAAAGAAAAAAAAACAAAGCTTCCTTACACGACTTAGCGAATTAACGGCCAGACCGCTGAACATAAATAAGTAATGTTGAATATTTACAGACGCCTGCTGTTGGCTTAACATTTTTCCTCTCATACATGCCACATAAATATTTCATGCTAACCATTGCTATTAAGTAAACTATTGAGCGAGAGAAAGCTACCTTGAAGTAATTTAAAATAAAATAAAATAAAAAGAAATATCTACAATTTAAAAAGTTAGTAAAAATTTATTATTATTATTAATATATAAAAAAGAAAATTCTCAAAAAATTTTAGCCAATCTATAAATGTTGATAGATACCTATATATAAATTGATATATAATTATATGGAAAGAGCGTAATGCAAGAGACACACAATTTTAAATTTATAATGTTGTTTACTTTTTAACAAAAATTTATAAAAAAAAAATATACTACAGCAAAAGAGTTACATTATGAATTTTGAAAAGTAGACTAACACTTGAAAGCAAAAGATTAAAACAAAACTGACTATGTTGATGATAAAACAAAAAAAAAAAACTTTCCAAAACTAAACTAATGCCTCCAAACACGCTAAACAATATTAACAATATTAACAACTCCTGAAATTTATAATAAATTTTGAAGCTAATATATCATACTGTAGCTATTACTACAACAACTACTGATGCTATGAACTTAAATTAATAAGTTATAATATATAAATACTTAACGACACACAATTTTTAAGGTAATTAGGGCATTTAAGTAAATTTAAAAGAAAAGAAACTAAATAATAAATAAACCTATAAACAAAAATGAAATTACTAGTTATAATTGTACACACAATTGAACTGTTAATTTATATATTTGTTAGTTGATAGGTTTTTATTTTTTTTTTCGATTTTTTTAAATGCAAAGAAAAACAAAAAACATTTCAACTAACAAATATTTCAATTAATATATGTAAAAGTAAACAGAAATTATATCTCTAACGGTGCTATCTATCTATCGTCTTAACAGTAAAAAAAAATAAATAAATAAATAAATCTGTTACACAAAATTATATACTCTTGCTGACTAATATACGAACGTCTGATTTAGCCTTAACTTACCAGCTTAACAACAATACGTTGACACTAGCCGTTATGTTGGTTTTTGCACATGCATACACGTTTGTACTGCCCCATAGCATGCAATGTGTGCGCATTGTAAACTTGCGCGTTAATTTAATTGTTATGAAACTAGCTTGAACTATACAAAATGAAGTTAACCGCAATTGAAATTGTTCGCAAACGACAGGAAGCGGAAATTATGCGTATACCGTGTGCAACTTGCGCTTTTAATTAGCACTGATAGCGAGAACACGTGTGCTCACCTCACTAGTGATGTGAAATGATAACACATAATCGATGGAGTTTCTTTGTGTGCGAAATTGTAAACATAAAACCGGTATAGCGTTTTGTGTTAAACTTACGTTGTTTAAAATATTATAGCTAAATTGAAAATGTAGTTACAATTTTTATACTAATCCTGTAGATATTATATAAATATTTTTTTTTTGCATAATTTTTTGCACTTTTTCTAAATCATATCATGAAATTTTACATTTAACCTAACTTATAGTAAACAATTTTTTCAATACACCAAAGTTTTGCTATCTATAGCTGGTTTTTTTCTATTTATTTGACTAAAAGAAATTAAATCTAAAATTAAAAGTTCAATTTTAATGCAACTCAAACAACTAGCTTTGCACCTTTTTAAAAAAATTTGCTATAAAATTGTTAAAAAAAAACAACAAACCATTTTTAACTAAAATAATAAATACATACATATATAGTAAAAATTTGTTAGAAAAAATGCCCTAATAAAAATAATTATTTTAAATACTTAATACACGCAAAAAAGCCAAACAAACGCTGCTGGAAATATTTTAATCTCTAAACAAAAACAAATAATATTAATATAACTGTATTCGTACATAATTAAATGCAAATGTAAATTTGTATGCCATAAACTATAAAAAAAATAATATAATAACAGCAAATCACATTTACACAAATAATATGCAAAATCTAAACGCTAAATAAACTTGCTGATGATATGTTGTGAATGTAATACAAAAAAAAAAAAACAAACCAAATATGCCACAACTAATAAACAAATATATAAAATATATGTAAACAATTAATATGGAAAATAAAAATAAAACAGACCAAAACGAATATTGTGTTTTTATTTACAAGTTTAAAGATTGTGAGGTTATGTATGAGCGTTAGAAATGGGATTATCCACGAATTTCATGTGTTAAGACCAGAGATGTTAAGCTGACGAAACGATCGATGGAAATTTTTTGTTTAAAGTGAAATTTATCGTTACGATGCCGCGTTGGTGAAGACGTTCAGCTGTGAAGCATTTCTCGCCATATCAACTGTTTATTTTTGTTTACTAACTGTATAAAAATTCGAAAATAAGAACAAATGAATTTGTATACTCGGAACACGCGTTGCACTTCTTATGCTTTGCGCAAATTTGACAGTTTTTTAGTAATTCCAGAGAACTTACTATTAAATATATTATGCTCATTGCGAACCAGTGCCAATATTATTAATAAAAAAGGAAAAATGTTTTAAGACTCAAGTACACAACAGCACCGAACAGCTTAATAAAGTAAAAAAAACGATAATTTCTGTGTAATTTATTTTAATATTTTAACGCTTTACTCAATTCTGTATATTTGAAACACAGAGTGATTCAAAGAAGCAAATGCTCTAATATACCTGTCACAAGTGCACCCTGTAGAAAACTAAGAATCACCATTCACAATGGACGCTCTCGCTTTTTGTTTTGATAATTAACAGCTGTTTTGTTGAACCAATTGTTAGATTGTTGTTTTGATTCCACAAAAAAGTATTTTACGAATTAACATATTTTGTGAAAAATTATTAAAATAAAAATACTACTCTCCAAAATATTAGTGCACTCAAAAGCAATAATTTGGGATAGTTGAAAATTCTAACTGAAATACATACAAAATGGAGCAACTGTCAGGTGTTATGATTATCATCATAATTGGTGGCGGGGTGTTGACTTTTGTAATGTTGTTTATTTTCGCAAAACGACAAATTATGCGATTTACATTAAGAAGTCGACGCGGACCACATGTGCCAGTGGGCAATGATGCAAAGAAGGTGTGTATCTTCTGACAACATTCATATGTAAATATGTGCCTACATACATTTAACAATTTATTGTGGTGTTTCTTATACTCCGTAGACACTTCGCAGGGAGATTGAACGACGTTTAGATTGCATACAGAAAATTGCACAAGAACCAAGACTATTATGGGCTGATGACAAGTATATAGTGCGTCCGGATCAGCCATTACCGCCGTATTATTATCGCATGAAAGCTGTGGATGATGTGAAAATTTTGGGTAAACCTTAAAATTATTGTAAACGAATTCTATTTTAGCAAATTAAATACATTTTAGAAACTGAAATAATGCGCAGTGATGGTAGTATGCGTCATCCGTATGATAGCTTACGCGCTTTCCTGTTGACAACACTTGCCGCAACAACACTCAATGGCTCGGGCCAGCAACGTATGATACATCAATTTTGTGATATGTACGAGCATGCACGACACGATCCTAATGAGTTTGGTAGTGAGGAGTATGAATCATATCATCGTTTACTACTTAAACTAATTGAGGCGTTAGTAAACATAATATTAATTTATAAAACACTATATATAGCTAGTTTAATTTCTCTTGCCAGCGCGAAGCAGCTAAAATCCTTGATCAGCTCACGCAAAACATCACCGGCACGCACGCCTAAAAAGCAAACTAAAATGCATTCACTACTTGATCCGGCACGTTTACGACCACCTACAACAACACCTAAATTACCCACTAATACCGGTTCATCTCTTGGTCAACAATCGAAAGTGAACTTAACTTTAGGTCTCCATGGACGTGATATGGAAGCTATTGATATAGCGCCTAACCCATTGCATTTGCAACCACCAGCTGAACGTGACATTATAATACGTAATCGCATTAAAACACCAACATTGGACGATCATGATGACGATGTTGATGGAACTGAGAGCCTAGGCGGTGGCGACGGCGGCAGCAATGCTGCCGTACATATTGAAGATATTGACGGTGAAGATAATGAAATCATGAGCATTTCCTCGGTACAGTTTCAACCTAATTCAAGTGTTGTTTGATTGATTGAGTATGCGGCGCGTGCACGCCACTTAACGAGTGCATTGAGACGCCTGCTACCAAAATGAAAAGCCAGTAAGCATAAATCTGTTAACTTGGACTTTTAATTTTTCTGGACTGAAAAGGGTAGTTTATGGAAAGCGGAACAACAATTCATTGACTTCAAGCAAAGTTTTAATTACTTTCGAAAATATTTCGATGTAAACATAAAGTTAGGCTAATATTTACATATTTAATATTTAAATACTAATTATGCATGCGTATAGTATAATCCTTGAATAATTTCGCTAAATAAGTGTTTAATGCTAAGACTTGCATAGCTAATACTAAAGATATTCGATTAGTGGTAGAAAATATAATTAAATTTATCTCATATATATACATAATTACATAAATAATAAAAACTGATAAGAAAAGAAAATACATTTCAAAGTTTCCAGTACGCCTGAGACTTTATATTTATTTCAAAACACTTATTTGAAAAAAAAACTACCTTTCAAGCCACGGTAGGTATCTGGTTAATATTATGAGTGCCTATTAACTAAATTATTTGCTTGTTCTTAATAATTAAAAGGAATATCGAATAAATACACTGATATATCAGAGATATAAAAAAACAGCATACTTTCAGGAGCTTTGGCGTCCAACCACCACACAGATAGCTTATCATTAATGTCAAATTAGCATATCAGAAGGCGCCCGCACCACTTTATCAAGCTGATAACAATTTACTCTATTTTGCCGATAAATACTCTCGCTCATTGCCATTCAGTTCTGTAAATCAGTTGATTTACGAATTCTCCATTGTGCGCATACTTTTCACGGGTGACCGTAAACAAAACTAACAAGCAAGAGCACTTACACGCATTTTCATATACTTATGTGCATATAGCGACTCCGGAAAAACAAATTTTTTTTTCTAAGTAACATATTGCACTACGCTGCAAAGTATGCAATGCATTGTTGGTATAAATAGTAGCATAGCAAGTGCACAGTTAATATTATCTACAAGTACAAATGATATTACCCACACAACAACGCGTGAGTTGTCTATAACGGAAGAGAATTGTGTATGGAAGCGTAATGAACCAACTGTGATGGCTTTTATGGTTTATGCCTTCATTGTGCCAGTGCTTTCGTGTTTTGGATTATGTGCAAATTTCATGAATGCTATTGTTTTTATGCGTCCTAAAATGACGCCATCAGCGTTTTCCTACCTTGCTGCGCTCGCCTGGCTTGACTGTCTCTCCTGCTTGCTGATATTGCTAACCGCACTTTCGCGTAGTATATTCTTCAACAGTCATATCTGGATGGCATACGATTTTCAATTGCAAACACCATTGTTTGGTATTAGTACTGGAGCAGCGAATCTTTTGTTGGGTAGCGTTAGTTGTGATCGTTTTATATACTTGCGTTATGGATTAAATAATGGTAATGTGCCGCCGCGTTTTTGTCGACGCAGAGTAGCGCGGCGTGTTATTATTGTGGTTATTTTTACATCGGTGTTACTGAATTTGCCATATTTCTTTATTTTCGAGGTCAATGATGATGGCACTTTCATAACACACCAATTATACTACACTACGTAAGTTAAAGTGAATATTTAAATATTTTGCTCTGTATATAGCAGTTGGAATTGTCTTCAAATAATTTGACAATTGCCAATTAACTTCCGCTTTAGACACATTTCCGCCATACTGGCTTACTTGCATGTTCGCTGTCATAATTCATGAGCATTGCACAGCCTTTGATAATTTCTTGTTTTTTTTTTTTGTCTAGTTCGATGTGGAGTTATGATAAACTGTAATTATATTATGTGATATACACGCCATCAACAATTGCTATCATACAATTTATCGTTTATACAATTTTCGCAAAATCATGTTCATACATATGTATGCAAACTTATGTCTGTATGTAAATATGTACGCACAGAAAATACCACCATACTTTCACAACGTTTACATTTAATTGTAATTGCAGTTATGACAGTGAAAAAATACTTAAAAGAGCTCTTTCTTCATCCTTCTGTTTGCTTTGTTTCAGTTATTACAAAATACATAATTGGTGCACCTTCATACTGCTAACAATTCTGCCGGCGTTGTTCCTTACTATAGGTAATATAACAATAGTTATAGTTTTCCGGCGTTGGACAAAGCAAAGCAAAAAATGTCATCAAAGGAATGGAAATGTTAATGCAAAGATAATGCGGAAACGCTATCGTGTGAGTACAGGGCGATGCCGATGTTTTAATATTGATTTCTTTTTTTTATCCTTATGAAGCATGTTGTAATAATGGCTTTTTCCGTTACCCAAACTTTTAATTTCCTGCGTACAGCATCAACTTAAATTAACAATCACCATAATTATACTTATTGCACTTTATATGATTGGTGAATTGCCTGCTGCTTTGACTTCGAGAAAAAATGCACTGAATTTGCTTTTCGGTGGCGATGTAAACCGTGTAAATTTTCAATTAATGGAACAACTCGATATGATTTGCCTAACGCTAAACGCGCTACAGCTTAGCATAAATATAATCGTTTATGCTGTCATTAATCCATCCTTTATGCCTGAATTTTTTGGTTGCTTACGCAGTGCATCCGATTTCTGTTGTGGCGTATTTTGCTTGACACCACTGATAAGATGGATGAGTAGCAATTGTTGTAAAGCGCCAAGTAAACCAGAAATGAATGTAAACGTCAATGTACCGTCAGTTACTGAGCATGAAATTGTAACTGCACGCAATGAATTTGATTTCTCAACGCTGTATGCAGATGAAGGGAGAACTGTTCATCAGAATAGTGCACGTTGCAGTGTCACCAGTAGCGTTAGTGCAAATGGCAATTGGGATACAGAGCCAGAAGAAGATGGAGGTGTGCTTGGATTTGACTTGTATCGTTATTGGCGAAATAATGTAAATACGCCGGGTACTCCGAAACGTTATCGTTGTAGCAATGAGTATCGAAAAGATAAGCATGATCAAGTTTGGACTACGAATACAGTCTGGAAACGTTCCAGTTCATTCGGTAATTGTGGTTGCGATAATCTAGCGCTAGATGTAGTTGCAATAGGTGGTAAAATCAAGCAGGAACAACTAGAAACAACTGAGAGTTGTGATTATCGTGTAACAACGCCGTCGTCAAAACAAAAAAGGCATTCATTGGCTTTTTAAATAAACTAAAATTAATCACAAGATTGTTTATTAAATAGATACATACATACAAAACAGCATGTAAATAGTATTATTTTGTTGTAATTTTAACACTACCTAAAAATTGTCAAATAAAAGAAAGCTAAACCGATATAAATTTAGTGTACGTATTTATTGTAAGCTTTTGTGTAGATCATTCTTTTCGTACATATCTGCCAAGGCCTGCGCTACCCGCTGTGGTGCATCTTCATCATATTCTTTTTTCGCCTCCATTAATGTTTTCATTAATTTACTTTGCTTTTGAACTTGCGTTACATTTTCAGTTTGCATTTCCAGTACTGGTAGACGCACAGTTACCTCCTCTATTTGCGCCGTTGGCGCAGGAAAATAAACACTGAGTAAATTTTGCCACTGTTTGTAGGCGAATTTACGCGCCAAATCCATATCGAAATCGAAAATTTTCATTGCCGGATCATTACGGGTGAATTTTACTACTTTTATACCAATTACAGCTTTTGGATCTTCCGTTATGGTAGATTCATCTGCATTAAGTTCTTCGGCCAACTGCGGTATATTGTGACTGTACTTTACCATGGGCAACATCCACGCGTTTCCATTACTACCGAGTAATATAATGAAGCTGTAAATGGTTAGCGAGATTTTGATACCTTTCATCTCTAGAATTCCGGACACTATTGCGATGCGACAAGTTGAACGCTTGCACTACTAAATTGGAATACTATATGTATTTAGTAAAATGTAGCTTATTACGTTTAACATTAATGGAATAGCTGTTTTAACATTCGAAAAATAATGGAAAAGTAAACACAAGTGTTTCTATTACGACAAATGTGCTTATTTCAGCCACATATTGTATATATATATTAGGAGTGCACGGTAATAAAAATTGTAATTTATATACGTATGTGTGTATGTACATAAGTATGAATGTATGTGTATTGAGATCTTAAATAAACAATGCAAATCACTTGTTTAAAAGCTGTGTAATCTCTAATTTATTTCTTGAATAAAACTACAATTTGTACATCGAACTTGAAAATACAAATATTAAAAATATTAAACAATATAAAAATTTTTAATTAATTGAAATCGGTATGAGACTAGTACAGCAGTGAGATATTGTAACCGTGCAATTTTGTATTAGCCTTGGCGACAGCCATAAGGCTTTTCCTTCGATAACACTCGTCTATTGCACCAGCAGCACTTCTCTATTTCTCCTTCTTTGTCTCTTTACCTTCGACATCTAACTGTTTAAGACGATCCAGACGCTGCAAAAGTGTTGGATGTGAATGATTACATGCAGAATAAAGCCAATCGTAAACTGGGAAGCCCAAATTATCCAAATTCAATTTAATCAAAGATTGGCCCAATTGCTTGGAGAAGCCCAGGCCATGTGCAAATTCATCAGCCTGATATTCGTAGTAACGTGAAAGCGTCGTCATAGCGAAATTAACAATCGCATTGTAGGGTGCCATGACATATGTAAATACTACCAACAAACCCACAACAATGGGGCGAGTGCCGGATTTGAAGCCGACCGCTTCATAGAAGGGTCCATAGCTGAAGCAATAACCGAAGACAACAAATAGAAGAAGTAAATGTACTTGTGCGATAATAATATTCTTAGTTACGTGACCGCATTTCCAGTGGCCCAACTCGTGACCCAATACGGCGAGTACTTCTTCATTTGTGCAACCTTTTCCTTTATCTTCCTCCTTCAGTTCGGAATCATCCGGTTTACCTTTATTCAAGAGCAATGTGTCGAAGAGCACAATACGTTTGGAATTCCAGAGGCCATAGAAATACGCATTACTGTGCGATGAACGTTTAGAACCCTCAACAACATACAGTTTAGTAAGTGGAAATTTCAATGTAGCAGCCAAATCTTCAATGGATTTACGAAGTGGTCCATCCTCGAGCGGTGTATACTTGTCAAATAGTGGTGCAATAAATATTGGATATATTGTGAGTAAAACCAGTGAAGTAATGCCAGTGAATAACCAAAGCCAAATGAAGAATTGGTCGCCGCCGTTCTTCACAATCCAAACAGTGGCAGAGATAATAGGAACCATTAGTACTTGTGTTACAAGGAATCCTTTTACTTGATCCCAGGCGAAAAAGCCGCCGGTTTGTTTATTAAAACCATGTTTCTCCTCAAGCACAAATGTGCTGTAGATTTTAAATGGCAAATCTTTGAATGTGCCAATTACGCTAGTGACAAATGCAAACAAGCAACTTACGATGATTTCGTTTTCACTATTTAAATGCACCAATTTCGCTAAATCGATAGCCCAGTCCCATTGTACAGCAATAAAGCCGGTATAGAGTTCGATGCACATTAGGATAACATCCTTTATAATGGCACAAAATACTCCGAAATTGGCACGATCGAGGCCATAAAGACGTGCTTTCTGGAATGTCTCATCGCTCATGCAATCCTTCAGTTCCTTGGGTACCTTCAAAGCAGTTTTGTATACTTGTATCTAAAAATTAAAATATATATTTAAATTTTTTTCTAGACGAGTGACATGTATCGGTTGCAGTAAAATTAAGCAGTTCGTGATGTCGCAAAGTGACAAGTTTAGATTTATTATAATTTAGTAATAATTTTTATGATAATTTATATTTTGCTTAAAAGTGTGGAGTTAGTCAACATGACGCATCCATGGGGTACGTTACCCCCTTTGCGTTTATTCCCCGTCTTTTTAATTCGCATTTCATTTAACATACCCGCAATTCGTTTATATATCGTATTACTTTACTAGAGTTTTGTTACCTGACGATAAGTAATGTAAATATCAAATATATTTTCCAATAGGATCACCCCTAGAACACTATAGAGCACCACGTCTGCCGCTGGCAAATCCATTTTCCGACTACACTGATTTCTTCTATTTAGAACTAAGAGATGCCAATTTAATAATTTCTAAGGAATGAAAAAGTTTATATATATATATATCTGTTCAATATTTCAACATTAAAAATAAGTAATTGATTATAGAAGAAACATAAACTTACAATTTTACCAATAAAAATGTCAAAGATAGATAAGCGACGCCGCAAATGTAAGCAGCAGCTGCCACGGAGAACGTATATTCTACGTTCTCTGGCGACGGTTGTCAGGAATGATAGCAATGCCAGATTATTGAAAAAATGTTTATTTTGAAATACCGGTAACATAACTAAAGAGTCAAGTATGGGATTGCATGGTTATCCCAATTCCGTTGTTTATTCTCTCAATAGTAAATCACACTTCAACAACATATCGAATTACTTAATTCATAATTAATACACTTTTATTGCTCCAACACTAAAAAACGAGGAAATTTGAAATTTTTAACGTCCAGGAGGATATTTAACTTGTTGAAATTATAAAAAGATTAAGATAATAAGATATCTATTGGAAGGGTGGATTTTTTTGTTGTATTCCACCTGCTGGCTTTTATATCGCCTATAAAATTTAATATTTTATTAACTTTTACTAAAAACTGCGTTTTCAAATGGATTAGAGAAAGCAAAAAAACAGAAAACTATCAAATTGCCTACTATTTGATAGGGAAATTCGCGTTCGTAATTGAGTGGACGAACAATGTAATTCGCGATGCCGTAACAAATTTAATTAACGGATTGGTATCGATTGCTCAAATTATCGTATATATTTAAAAATATCAGGAGTTCATAAAACTTTATAGAAGATATATATTCAAACAGTTGCACTTTTTATTGAAACCTCCATTCTGCTTTTTCCCAAATGTAACAGGTAAGATGTATTATTTTTTAAAGGTGTGAAAAGTAATATATATAGTTGTTTTCACAACAAAAGCGAAAAATTTGTTGTTATATAATATATCCATGTCTCCGAATGAACAATTTGTTACAGATTTCTCTATGTAAATACAGATTAATTAGAAATATTCTTCATTGTGAACGATATATTACTAAACGCTCTTTGTTACTAATAACAAAGTCAGTTCATTGTGAGCATTCACCGCTAAATTTGTTGCTCGAGAAAGTGAGTCTTTTAAAAAAAATCTATTGGAAAAGTATGTTTTAACTGGTTTTTACAACATCAAACATTATATTTTAAAAGAGAAACATGCCGGGTAGTAGCGTGAAGAAGCAAAGCGCTGGCAGCAATTCCGCACAGAAAAATACCAGCAATAGCTCAATACGAAACATTTCATCAGGTTCATCGGGGAGCAGCAGGGCGCGAAAAAGGTTTGTTTGGAATTTTTATAAGGATACAGGGTGATCGTTGATTTTCGTAAAATGCACCTTTTTGATTTTCTAAACTCAATTTCCATTATATGTTGCAGAAAACGATGTGTAGTTAAAAGAGTGAGTGACAGTGACTTAGAATCTGAATTAGAGGAGTGTAATTTAGAAGATGCAGTTGATATAGAACGAAAGCTACGTAAAGTGGCGGAAGACAATCATTTAAGTGACGAAGAGATGCGAAAATTATTACAGGTATGTAAACCTACCCACTGAATAAAAAAAAAAATAAATATAAAAAAAATTAGTATAAAAACCCTTGCGTTTATAGAAATTTGTTAAAAATGAACATATACTTGCGCTGGTAACGCTTAAAGCCGAAGATGAAATAGCACGTGAACGTCAGGAGTCAGAACAACCAGCCATTATAATAACCGACACACCATCTGTTCCCAAATTGACGCGCGCCAAGGCGCGAGAATTAAATAAAATACCTGGTATTAGTTTGCCATCATTAACTGAAAGTAAAGAACCGGAAATTACCGCTCTTATACAGGAAGAATTAAATTCAGATGAAGATGATGAAGAGTATGTTTTCAAAGAAGACGACTTTGTTGTAAGTTTTAAAACGTTATTATATTGCTTCAAGCTTTATCATTATTTCACAATTTAGTCTGATGAGGATCCAAATACAACAGCTTCGGATTTGGATTCAAATCCACGCACACCACAAACACCGCTTTCTCAAACCGAAGCTGAGGATTCGCCGGTAAAGTTTACATCAGATGGCTGCTTCAAAATACCATTTGAGAAACCGAGAAATACGAGTGAAGATGTGCGTATTGCGGCACGGACGCGCTCCAAACTTTGCCTGGAGCAGACGGCTATTGAGGATATAGAATCTGAATTTGTGCCACCCGACGTGGAGCAAATAGATTTGCAAGACATAGATATGACCGCGAATGACGAGGACTGGATGCAGTTTTTAAATGATTTCACGAAACCCTTAAGTAGTTATATTTTTACAAATCTTCAAATAAATACTGAAAATGTTTTCATTGAATTGCAGATTCAAGTTTCATAACAGATGATGACGATCCAGTCAATGATCCGGAGTACATAGCTGCGGAAAAGATACTAGGTTTAGTGAAATGCACACATACCATAATCAATTTTTATTTAATTAAAAAAAAAATGCTTTCAGAGGATGCGGAGGAGTTACGCGACATCAATATACCACGTAAAGAGCTTACCGAGTTGGTGGCAGAACTATTCGAAGGTTTGGTCAATGAAGGTGTCTCGCTTGAGAGTGTTGAATTGGACACACCACAAAACGTTTTGTTGAACACTTCTGAGCAGGCAACTATTGTTGAAAATAATAATGTTAGCATATCGGCAGGAAAAATATTAACACCTGCTACCACACACGCACAAGACGATGAGCGCCATCGTGTAACAAGACAGCTCAACTTTGAACAAGAACCGTACAATCCACTCGCACAGGAACAAAATTACGTTGCTGATGTGCCACCTTTAGTACCCATCAGTAACATAGCTAATGTAACACAAAATGAATACTCATTCCAGCCGGACGTCATGTCCACACCAGCAGCAATTAATGAAAATAATCGTCCTACTGCTTTTAATACACTACAATTACAAGCGCCAGTAGCTTACCCAAACAATGGCGAGGAAAGTGTCAATCAAGTAATTACACTGCCTGCAACTGGCTTAAATGCAGAACCAGAGTGGATAGCTGTCAAAATACCTGGTCTAAATAATTCTTATCAATTAGCGCGTGTTGTTCCTGCAGCAAATACGTTCGGACCACCACCACTAGTGAGAATACAGTCACAGAAGGCGCTTGCACCAAACTCACAGCAAAAATCTCAACCTACACCCAAAGATCCACGCTACACTGAACCTTACGACACGAATTTTACGTATGAATATATATCGATAAGGAAGCACGTATATACAGAATATATTTCCAAATTTGAGGATGTCGTAAAAATGCTTAAGAATACAATGCCTGCCGAGGAGCTACCAACTGATGGAAAAGGGTTTACCAGATTTCAGCATGACATACTGCAACAGCAATTACGCTTGCACGTACAAATGTTAACACAAACATTTGTTCAAAGTTATTCACATCCGAACTATTGGAAGCTTGCACCTAAAGCAAAAGATATGCTAATGGAATTGGAACAAAAAGCGGAAGACGATGCTTCGTTCCGAGCGTGGAACCTACGGCCGGCAATGAAGCTTATAAGACAATGGGAGGAGGATTTATCAGAAGATACACCTCAAAATAAAGAGATGATGAAGTAAGTGTATTTCGCTTACAATATAATTATGAAGAATGTAGCTTAATCGGTTATCAATTCCTTACAGGTTTATAAACAGCGAAGTACATAGCACGTAAGTTATTACTGTTGAAATTATGTTTTTCAAATTCCACTTATTTATATATGTAAAAACTAATACAACCATTACAGCAGAAGCAATTGCCGCCAAGTTCCCCGTTTTCCTCCACGCATTATGGAATTGATGTTGAATAGCAAAGTATTCATGTATCCACAATACTTACCTCGCATACCTTTTAGATCTCGACCACGCAGGTATGAATGTTTTGCACCGGCTGAGATGCAACTTATTGCCATGGGCCTGGAGCGACATATAAATAAGATACGTGAAACGGGTGAACGCTTATCAAACAAAACTAATGAAGTAAGAGCAGCTGTGCGGCGTTTAATTACAGACACTGTATACGGAAAATCCATTCGCCGTGTATGGGGTCAAGTCAGAAATTTACGCCATGCTAACTTTTATAATCCCGTGAAGGTACGCTATATACTAAACGTTGTTGTTTTGTGTTAATACATTTATATTTATTTGCAATTTCAGTTTTACTTTGAACATAAGCGTGCACCGCCAATAGAACACAAGCTTATTACATTTGAAAATAGCAAAGTATTACCCCCAAAGGACCGTTACGAAGATTTGCCATTGGCCTGGCAAACATACATAGATGAGGTAAGCTTATATTTGATTTTAATTTACTTTGATACAATCGAACTAATAAGAAGTCCACATTTCCGTTGATATTATTATTATTTTTTTCAATTACTTTTTTTTAGAAATTCAGTTAAAATGATTTTCTTTTATTTATTTATTTGTTGCAATTAATTTATCTTGGCTGGGTATTATTGTATAAAAATATCCGTATGTGTGTAAGCTAACATTACAAAAAAAAAAAAAAAACTTTAGCCACAAATCACTTTTACTGACTGCCTCCGACACGATCTCTGGGAATCAGTCGCAATTCTGAGCCATGTTTCAGAAATACATTGCCTGCTGTCTGTTGAGGGCTGATACCAATTCCGTCATCCGTGATAATAGCGCTAGTTGCTGCTGGCACTTTAAATTCTTCAGCTGCGAATTTCAGCACAGCCGTGAATGGTGTACCTTCGGGAACGCTGAGCACTTTAAATGGCAGCTTGGGATCGGATGTTAGCGTTATTTTGAAGGTTACTTTCGAACTCATGTTTAGCTGATTTCTGTGGTTTTACAGGTTTTGGTAATGTTGTCTACAATTTGATAGGGTTGTGACGTGGTCACTTTCTAAATATCCAACTCGGTTGTCACTGATATCCAACTAGCGGTTTATTTAACATAGGTTAAATGAAAAGAATAACCTTAACAAAGGAATGGTTTAAGTCTTCGTTCTATAACTTTGTTTAATAATGTTTTATTTGTTTTGCCAAATTGTAGATCCGTCTGTTTAGAAAATTACTTTCCACTTAGATATTAGAGATATTTACCTTTGAAAAAATCGATGGCAAGGACGATTTTCTCTTAATTATCGATACTGTTTTAATGACGTGATGGGCCTAACAAGGGAAATTTCGTTTTGTCAAAATAATTTAAACTTAATTACTGATTTAAGTAAAAACCAATCATGTTACATTTTAAAACATTTATGTATATTGAAGCAGAATTGAAAATATTCGCAACGCGTAGGCGATGTCAAAGTAAATATTTTTTTTACTATCGATATTTTGACGAACAATGCTGGATAAATTCGTGAGCTATTCACAATAGTACTGTCAATTCGGGGGAAATTGTTTTGTTTATAGATTTATTTTTCACATTTGTAACGCAGTGCATTAAAATTTCTTAAAACATTGAAAATTTTTGTTTTATCGCAATAATTTTTTAATATTAAATTTGTAAACAAACATTAATTGCATAGAAACGCTCAGCAAGAAGAAAACGTGGTGTGAGGGCATCTGAAACAGCTGGTGCATCATATCTGCAATTCGTTCGTGAGGCTTTAGGAGAAGACATACAACTACCAGATAGTGCAGCTGAAGCTGCAACGCCTAACGACAGTGGTGCGGATAATTCGCGATCATATACGCAATCTGGAAATACTACGTTCTTTAACAGAAGCCATTCAAAAAGAAGTTTTGCAAATAGTGTAACAATAAATGTAAATTATTATTTTGGGGCAACACCAACACACGGCGAGACCCAAGCCAACGCTAATGCAACACTTGCATTACCGGCTCCCGAAACTATCAATGGGGAACCTGTGAATGCTTCGGAATTAGCTTGCACGCCGCTATCAAACTCGTCTCCACAAGGGGAGACAAGTATTGTATCATTCAATTATGACTGGAATTCAAAAACTCTGCGACCGATTATTGAGCCGAAGCTGAAAAGATCCTCCCCGAATTTAAAAACTATAAAGACGAAACGTGAGAAGAAAGTAACAACGAGACCGTGCAAACTAGTGCAATACAAACGTATTCGCAATTTGAGAGGTGCACGCCGTACACTAGCATTAAGTAAGATAAACAAGAGACTGTGGAGGAAGCGTTTTACTATTATATTAAAATCTTACCGCTTATATTTGACACGGAAAGAACGACGTTTTAAACGTTCAATACTTGTGCGTAATGTCTATAGATATTTTAAGGCTTTAGAATTGTATACAAATTTATTAAGAGATCTCAAAATGGCTTGTCGTAACGCGATAGCTGCTAATTTAGCTAGCGTTCCAGCTGATAACACGGAACAGCTGACATCTAATACAGCCGGTACCACTACAACATCACAGCATTCGCCAACAGCAAAGTTTTTTATACACGGTTCGACACAATATGGTAAACGTACACGTACTCAACTGGCGCAACAGCAAGCGCTAGACGAGGATTCGTTTGTTGGTTCGCGCAGTAAAAAAGCCAGTCGGCAGGAGGAAAATTTTAAGCATATGCTGTTACCTGACACGGCAGAAGATGCAAATCGCAAAGATGCAAGTGAGTATGCATTATTGTTTAAAACATACATATGTATCCGAAATGTGGCTAACATTTATTTCTTACTCAGTTTATGCGTTCAACTTCTATGAAAAGGTTGAAGAAGTTTTCAAAGCATCAAATCGTCCAGAAGACTGCAAAAGATTTAATCACATACTAAAAACCTTCGATCCGCGTCGGGACAAAGTATCAGATTTATATAATGTGAGTAGGTTGCAAAATGTAAAATGTAAAATTTATTTAATTTTTTTTTTTTTGCTTTGTGTGCAGAAAATGGAGCGTCTTTTTTTGCCCGAATTTCCTGAGCTGGCGCAGGTATTTCTAACATTCTTATTGCCGTCTGAGGCAGCGGAAATTGGAAAATTCTTCGAGTATTTCATGATAAACAACATGACCACATTTATAAACAAATTGAATATTTACTTCAATAAACAACCAGCGCAAATACGTAAAATCTATAATTGTCTAGCAGAATTGGCTGAAGAGCCGGAAGTTACGATGAAGAAAGTTGAAGCGAAGATTTTGCCATTATTAAAAGGCAATCAGTTTCTCATTGAATGGTTCTTGCAACAATTTCCAGAAGCTAAACCACCTGAGAGGTAAGCAAAAGTAATTCGAATGTTCTAAGGGAAATTTTAAATCTATTTTTTTATTTTTATAGATTACTCTCAACGGTGGAACAAGTTAATTTGAAGGAAGCTGAAATTAGGCCAAATTCACACGAAACATTAAATGATCCACCAGAAGCTATAACACCATGTTGTGAAATGCAACAACAACAGCAACAAAATCAAGCACATCAGTGCCAGCTAAGGGTGGGCATTGAAGTTTTGAACCAACAAAAAGACATATTAATTTAAATTTTTACCCATTTAATTGATTCTTGTAGTACATTAACGGACGCATATTTTATGGCAACAAAATAACATTGCCAGCCAAACTGTCCTTCATGGCAAGTAATGCCCAATCGGATAATGATAATGAATGTGATGCTGACGAATTGTCGGAGCAAGCAATGTCGGAATGCGTGCATGGTATACGTGAGCACGGTGAGCGACGTTTAGCGGCCGTTGTAGACAAAGCTGCTGCAGCTGATTGTAACCCCGATGATAATGACATATCCGAAGAAGAAGATGTTACGAAAAGTATGTGTTAATTTTTAGTTTTACTTAAGTTTTTTTTTTCTTAATTTTTATATGTATATATTTTTTTTATTACTTTTATACTTTATTTCACTTTAGCACTGTTGATTGATACAGAAAACCATGAGGATACTACTTCATCTATTGAAACCTGTGACGATGCTGCTTTACGGGCGCATGCTATGCGCCTCAATCCAGCATTTTACGGCAATACATGTTTTGCAGCTGTTACTAGTACACCAAATGCAGCCACTACTTATGTGCCACATCATCCAAATGCTAAAAAGTCCATGTTGAATTTTAATGATGATGGCAAAGTAGTATCTCCGCGCAAACAGCTTACACCCGGTGCAAGCGGTAATACAGTGCCCGCTAGTGTGACGCCCACGCAGTGCCTTTCGCCGAATATTACAGCTGGGAATACAAGTAAAAACCAACCAACCACAACAATGGCCAACATCAATGCTCTTAATAATAATGCTGGCGATGGTGATGATAATAATGTCACATTGCAACAACAACGTGAAAAACGTAAATTATCTCCAACGAAAAAAGTCAAATCACCATTAGCTGCAACACGTTTGCGTTCCAGCACCGGTAATGCACAACCAATGGTTGTGATCTATGAGCATAATGCGGCAATCGCTTGTGCCAAGAAACTACAATCTCTAATAGCCGAAGAGGATAATGAAGGTGACATAGACAATAAGGAACGTATTGCCATAATTGCACGAGCCAAAGATTCAATGCCCGAAGGTCTGCAACAAGATGCGGACGAAAGTGTTGTAATACAGGTGGAGGAGCGGCGTGCGCAATCACCGCATACGCCACCACTACTTACAGTGACCAAAGTTGAGCATAGCGATAATTCCGATGATTTGGAGTTCATACCGGAGGGCACAGAGGTGACGCATTCACTTACACATGGGTGCTTCGAAAGAAATATATCCGAGTATGCCAGTTTGGAGCAAATCCAAAACTCAACAGTAACAACAAGAACAACAACAACGCCAGCGATAGACGTACAGTCGATGCCTGTAGCTACTGCCAATGAAAACTATACTGAAGATTGCAAATTGGAAGTTGTTGCTACCTTAAGCGCTGCCACTGAGGGAAGCAATACTGCGGCAACTTGCGCCACTTCCTCGTCAAATACTGCTATAGCAGCATCCAAAGAGTCCATCGCTGCTTGGACACGTGAGGAAGATAAACTCATATTGATTGAAATGAAGCTTAGCGCAGGCTTAGAACGCGAACAATTGCTGGACCGAATACATGATAAGTTGCCTACGCGTACTTTGACCGAAATTAAAGGACGTTATCATTTTCTCATGGATTTTCTGTCCAAATTACAGGGCAAATAAAGTACATTCATAAATATATATGAATGGTAAACTAACGGGTATATATTCAAATTATTTATTAATTGTTTTTAGTTTTAATTTAATTTTAATTCATTCTTAATTTTGCTGATGCCATGTGCATAGTGAGTTTGTATATATGGAATATTTCATAACTGAAATTGCTTTACTTGCATTTTATTATTTTACACTTTGTATGCCATGAGTTCTTTTTCAAAATAAAGCGAATATCTTTACAATTACACATACATATTTTGAACTGATTGTTTTTTATTCAAAATTTCCAGTTTTTAATTTATTTTTGTTTAAATCCAAAACTTTTAGTTGTACGAATTTGTAATACAAGAAGTTTACCCATGACAAGTCTTGGTATAAATGGTTTCGGCCGTATTGGACGTTTGGTGTTGCGCGAGGCAATACGTCGCAAGGCACAAGTCGTGGCGATCAATGAACCCTTCATCGATATCAAATACATGGCTTACATGTTGAAATACGATTCAACGCATGGTCGTTTTAAGGGTGAAATCGCCATGGATGGTAAAAATTTGAAAATTGATAATCAGAGTATAGCGGTTTTAGCCGAAAAGGATCCAGCTAAAATCAAATGGAGTGAAGTGGGCGCTAAATATGTGCTAGAATGCACAGGCAAATTCATTTCCACCGAAAAGGCCAGCGCGCATCTAAAAGGTGGCGCTATGAAGGTTATAGTTTCTGCACCCGTCTCGGATGCACCCATGTTCGTGGTGGGTGTAAATTTAGATGCTTACAAACCGGATATGAAAGTAATTTCGAATGCATCGTGTACAACGAATTGTCTGGCGCCTTTAGCAAAGGTGATACATACCAATTTTGAAATATGTAGTGGTCTTATGACCACCGTACACGCGGTTACCTCATCACAGAAATGTGTCGATGCACCATCTCCGAAAAAGTGGCGTAGCGGTCGTGGAGTGCTGCAAAATATTATACCCACATCAACGGGCGCTGCAAAGGCGGTGGGTAAAGTTATACCCGATTTGAATGGTAAACTAACGGGTATGGCCTTTCGTGTGCCCACAGCTGATGTTTCTGTAGTGGATTTGACTGTGAGTATCGGTAAACCAACTTCACTCGATTGTATTAAGGAGAAAATTGAAGAGGCATCAAAAGGACCAATGAAAGGCATACTCGGTTATACTGAAGATGAGATTGTATCTACAGATATAACAACTGATCCACGTTCCTCCATTTTTGATGCCAAAGCGAGTATTGGTCTAACAGATACATTCTTTAAATTGATCTCCTGGTATGACAACGAATATGGTTACTCGTCGCGTATGATTGATTTGGTAAAATATGTGCAGGAAGAGGATAAAAAGGCGAACAAAAAAGGAGATGGTAAAGATGGTGATAGTAGTAAATGCGATACCAAGAAAACATGAAAATTAAGAAAATAATTGCAGAAAATGTGGATATAACACTCGTTTTTATAGGCTTTTTCAATCAATTTCCAATATGTCTTATATGGCAAAGAACTGATGGTCTTCCCGATCTCAACAGTTTGTCCAAAGCATTTGTGCTAATTTTCAATACATAAATGTCACGAAAAACTTTTTTTTGGCAATTTTATTTTTAAAGGCTTAAAAACTTGTCAACAACACGAAATAATGCAAATACATACTACATTGCACTTTCCACTTAAATTTTCCCCTTAGTACGGTCTAATTTTCGATTGTGTAGCATGTGTTAGTATCCATGTATTCTTTGGGCGTTTCTTCATAGCCATTTGTTTATGACGCGGGTGTGTTGGACAAATAACGTATAAACGTTCTTCTCGCACTACAAAATAGCAATCCTTGCAGCGGCGTTTCAAGCGACCCTTAACCTTAAAACCGGCCACTTGTGTTAATAATGAATTGAACGGTGTAAGCAGACGTTGCAACCCGCTATCAACTCCAGCAGAAGCTGTTGCGGTACAACTATTTCCCGCAATTGGTCCACTTGCTGCCAACGTGCGGCAATTGGCCATTATGTGATATGTTCGATTATTTGCGCTGACGGTTGATGTTTGCACAGTAGATGCGGCGAGAGTCAACAAACGCAAACTACCTTTGTACATATGTGCGCCGATTTTCGAGATGAAGGACATCTGTGTGATGGGGTTTTTCAACAATTTTTATTCATATTTTATTTGTAAATATTTTTTATATATTATTACCTTTGCGCAAGTTTTGCTTCCGAAACGATTGCTTAATTTTCACAGCTGATATAAAAGTTACTAATCAGCTGTTTATTCAACAGAAAAGCATTAGTTGCTTACGGCGCCATCTTGGTGTGAGTTTTGAAAGCAACCTATGCAAATACAACGATTTTCTTTCTTTTCCGCTATTTTTTGACAGTTGCAATTGATATTTGTAGTAAATTGTGAAACCCGACTGGTATTTTAGTTTAGTTTATGCAGTAAAATCCGGTAGAATCGAGAATAAACGAAATATTTATTGCTTTCCTAGTGTTAGTGGTTAAAAATGAAACACAGTGCAATATATTGCATTGAAAGTGAAAATTTCTTTAAGTTTTATTAATGACCCAGTACATTTTGCTTTTTCTAACATATTCATACATATATGCATGGTTGAATAAGGAGCTTTTGGAATATGCTACACTCAAATATAAACACATATGTTAATCTGTTATTATCATGGAAAAAGAATTAATGTCATTGCAAATAAAAAAGCGCACTAATACTCACATGCCATTGTAAGAAGCAGGCAGCTGCTACTTCGGCCTTTTCCGATACCATTTAATTAATAAAAACAAGTAGTGTTTTTTTTGTAGAGTTCATTTTTTATTATCGGAATAATATGTTTGTAAGTTCACGATGATTTCTTAGTTTGAGTTTCATTCTAAATATATTTTTAATATGCAAAATGCAGTTATAGTATTTATATAGTATGTATACATAAAGTGTTGCTAGAAAATTATTACCACAATGAATTTGCGGAGAATACTCTGCCAAGTACCTTTTAGCAATTATTTACACTTTAGTTTGTCTGTATGTACGAGTATATGTGTTGTGCATAAGATCCTTTTAATGATTTGAATAGTAGAGATTTTTTTTTTGTTTTCATTAATAAGTATCTCATGAAAGTAGTTTGCTTTAAAAGTCTAAATATTTTCCGTTGGCTATTTTTGCCGCTGATCTAAAATTCACTTCTTTGTATTAATGAGTGCTAAGCGTTTTAGAAAATATGTATGATTTATTGAATCAGTATATGTACGAATATTTCTTTTAAAGATGTCTCGTAACATTATGTTCTCTGATGTTTTTAATATATCTGTGCTATTGTGGAATATTGATTTGTTATTTCGTATTTTATTTAACACATTGACGTTACTAAATATTCAATTTTTCCATTTGATATTTCTAAGTTATATTGATTTCTAGAATATTACTAAGTATGCACATCGATTTTCGCAAAACTTTAAAAGTTATAAGTTTTTGAGTTTGATGAATATGTTAGTGGATAGAAAATTTTAAATAAGTTTTTATTTTTTATTTTCTATTTCAAATGTGTGTATATATATTTTTTTACTTATATTTAGTATGAATTTTAAAACACTCTTACTATGAATTTTGTTAGTTAAAAAATTCAAAAAAAAAAAAATTTTATTAATTGTTAAACTATAACCTAACAATAATTATACATTTTATGTTGTTGTTAAGTGTATAATAAGGATATTAATTTGTATGATATATGTTAATATGCAACTTACAAATAATATAATGCAATTAGATTTCTTTTCTCATTTTAATTTATATTGTTAACATGAACTAATTTCTATATTTCATTCATATATATTCTTGTTCTTAAACTTTTAAAATAATTTATCTCGTCTAAATTTCAAGACATTTATTTAATTTATAAGTTTTATGCATAGGCAAATATCATCAGTAGTTAGGAGTTTGTAACTTTGTTAAGTTTAAAGTAGTCTCATTTCTTAAATATTGTGTTCTTATACACGGTACGTTTAAATATATTTTAAATTCAAAATTTTTTTGGTAATATGTTTTATTGTACGTACGTAATATTATATAGTTTTTCATGAACTATTTGTTTTTTTTTTTGTTTTGATTACACAAATACCTTTTATAGTTTTTAAAGTTTTCCACATTCATTAGTTTTTATATTCGTAAATATTTTCTCATTCTTTGATAGAACCAACTACATTAATATGTACTTATTTAAGCTATTTTTGATTTCCATCAAATCGCTATTGTTAAAGAAATAAGTTTATTCAGAAACATTTATTATGTACCTTATTTGCTTAACAACGCTGGTTGAATAACAAGCAGCATACATATAATTATATTTCAAAAAATTTTTTATTGTAGTAGTTTTTTCCTATTTTGAAATAGTTTTCACTTAATATTTACTTCTGCTTTCTATTTTAGTTTAACTTATTATTTACTTTTAAGAGTAAATGCTTCAAATGCTTTCTGTGAAATGTATTTCAACTGTTTAGGTACTAATTCTCTGCTCAGATATATTTTGATATATTTTTAATTATAATAATACATGTATATATATAGGTATTAAATTTTTATTTTTGAATTTCGCGTATGATTAACTAAATTTTAGCTTCGCTACAGCCTATAAAGATAGTAGTTATATAGAGTTTTAACTTCCTTACTTAAATATGTAAATTTTCTTATATTTGTATATGAATTTAAATATTTTTTAGCGTGTATATTTGTTTTTAAATTTTTATTTGGCTTAAGTAAATTTTTTTCTTTCTCAAAAGTTTTAGACTAGAAGTGAAAGGCTAACTACAAATCATTTTCATTTCAAATTTTATAAAATAAATATAATTAATTTATAAATTATGAAGTCAACAGACAATTTCTAATTAATATTTATAAATAGCACATCCTATACTATCAGAGACTATGCATTGACGCATAATTCGGAAGTGGAATATTTTACTTAAGCAAAAACGCTGCTAATTTACTTTTTCTTTCATTCTTCAAGTTTATTTGGCAAATAAACTGTGGTTTGCATTTCAGCAGTCAAATTCTTGAGGCGTATTGACAGTTGTCAAAGTACTAATGTCTTCAATATAGTATATATGTTTTCCATATTCGAAAAACATGCTCAAAAAAGTTTTGTCATCACATTTGCTATCTGATTCGTGCTATAAAATAAAGTACAATACTCGTATGTGCTGAACAAAAAACAAACTCCTGTTCTGCCGCTTTTAGTTATTAAAAAGATTGTCTTAAATTTTTTTCTATTTAAATATGAAATACTTATTTATTCGAGTGAAAATTTTTTTTTGTAGATTCTCAACTATTCCAACAAGGTGTGTCAGCACAGTATGTTATTTTTATCTTAAATTTATTTTAATATTTTTTAGACACTACATACTTAGTTTTTTTTGCATAATATTTCTACTAAAGTCCTTAAAATTTATTTAATACAAAAATAATATTTAGAATACAAAAAAATTAGCTACAAATATACCTTTTTTAAATATGACACCCAGATTTATTTACGTAAAATTTTTGGCAAAAACTGTTTAAATAGGGTATATTTCGTGGGGCAACAGACATTTCAGAGAGTACCTAAAAAAATATTTTTTTACCGTGGAAGAATTCTCTTTTTTTCTAATTTCAAGTATTTTGCAATAGATGAATAACTTTTTATTAAAGTATTTGTGCTTGGGAAAATTTTAAAAATAATTCAAAGGCTTTGAAATTAGGTAAGGATTTTTCCACCCTAATTTTAGGCAATTAGTTGTCACAGATTTTCATACTTCTTGAGTACGCCGCACTTCTTTAATAAAATACATTTAGATACATATTGTGAGTACTATTAATTTTTTTAATTTTATTAATAAAGACGACTACTTATTTATCAAGGTAAGACGTTCTCACTAATCCAAAAATATTGCCGAAAAATTGAAAAAGTAAAAACATCAAATTTACTAAAAAATGAAATTTTAAAATTTCGATTTACCATTTAATATTTTTTACTTGGAATTTCTTCTGTAATCATAATATTTGGCAATAATGTCTGTTTTCAGCTCTTGCTATGTATTTTACTTGTCTAAACGTTTGTATCCGATTGTTTAATGCAGGGGCAAACATTACAATCGTCAAACATTTATATACATTTATTAGTAAAATATTTGCAGAGAATTTTTTTTTTATTCATTATTTCACACAAATTTTAGTTTTTTCAATTCTTGCATACTCTCTTTACTGTTGGAGATTTTAGAGATACATACTTATATATGTATTTTTTATAGAATTCATTTAGAAGTAAATGTTTTCATACGTATTACATCTTCTCAAATTTGAGAAAATTCGAAAATAAATTGTAATATAGTTTAAATATATACTTATTATTATTGCAGTAATATTACAAGAACAAGAATATGTCAAACTATCACAAAAATATTTAATATAGTTGGGAAAAGCCATAGAATAGAATACTTCAAATCGATAAATTCGATAAAAATGCTAAGATCAAATACTTGTAGCATCACTAAAGAATTTAGTTGCAAAATGGATAAAGCTTCCAAAACATATTGAGAAGAATTAAAAATCGGTACAAAAGTATTTAGACAAGCTAAAAATATCATATTCTATTTAAAACACATTTTTTAGAATAGTCAACGAAGGTGTTAACCACAGTAATGAAAGATTCTTCAAGTAGAATTGTACTTAATTAGATATGTAAATTGAGCAATTGAGTATATTTTTGTGTATTTATTGCTTTAACGATTCATGATTTACACTAGAAATATGCACACATGAAGTTATCGATTAATTGATAATCAGATTTAATAAAAATATTTAAGAAAATACGCTTGTAGTGCTAATTTTGAATAGCCGCCTGAAAGTTTTAGATCGCATCGGAGAGTTTCAAAATTGTTATAATAGAATTAGAGCTCTAGATACTCGGATATGGAGCAGTGCGAACAGCACGATACTCGTTCGTTGCTCAACTGCTCAAATGTTTATTTGAACTTTTTCGTTTCAATTTTCAACTTTGTTTGCCAAAATTTCTTTAGTATTTTTTGAGTTTTGTATTTTGCATAAGCAAATAAAAATTATCGAGTTCGTGTTAGAAAAATTTCGAGCAATAAGCAATAAACGAGTGCCCGAATACTCGTGGCTCAAAGAAATGTGGCAAAAATGTGAGAATAAAATCGTATAGGAGAGAAATTGAGAAGTATGAAATGGTTACAATTGTATGATAAAAATTATTTAGTTTTATTATTTTTGAATAGAAAATTTTATTAAATTTATAATGGCGGAGTGAAATTCTTTGATAATAGTTAATTTTTTTTTATCTAAATGTGTTTTTTGGTTTTACGTATTTACATATCATAAATGTATATTTAAATATTTTATGTATTTATTGAAAAAAAAAGCGAAATATTAGTCGTATATATTTATTTTCTAAAATCAATACGAATTTTTTTAGAAATAAGAATCTTTAATTTTAGTTGCTTTTGGAACTATTTCGTCTAATTTATAAAACCAAAATCAAAAATCAAGACGTATAATGGTGGAATGTTAATTTTTGATTTTTTTAATAATATATATTATATATTATATTTTTTAATGATAATATATTTAGTATATAGTTTATACTGAAACTTCTCTTTTCTAACTAAAATTTATTTTAAATGAATTTTTCATTAAAAAAAAAAAAATAAAACACATTAAAATGAAAGAAAACGAACTGTTGTTAAATGCTGTGTCTTAAATAACATTTTTTATTGATTTAATTTTAAATTTTTAAATAATTACTTTCATATGCCAGTAATAATCACTTTTATTAAAACAAAAATATTTGATTTTCTTAAGAGGAATTATGACTAAGCGTAAGCATAGTTTATTTAATAATAAATTGGAATTTTTTTAAACTTATTTTACTAAATCTACAATTTTTAACAATAAAATTTCTTTAAACTAAAGTAATACGCAGAGATGTCAACAAATAATAACAACATTACTTAACTACATATATGTATATATAAAATACATTAGCTTTCATAAAAAGTATTGCTTAACGTTTTTTTTGTTTTTGTTTTAAAGTGAATTTTAAAATTATAAATAATAAAAATTATTTCAAAAATAACAATATTAAAAGGAATTAACAATTTGAAACTAAAGAATAATCGCACATTATTTTTGTCTTTTTTTCTACACAATTCCAACATTTTTAAAGCATAAAATATACAGTTAGTAAAATTTATTTATTTGCTTACATATCGGCTGCTCGTTACGCAAACTTTAATACTTACGCTCACATACACACCGCGCAGTTGCAGTTGAATTTGCAAGTTCATGTTATTTGAATTTGTGCATGTGTGTGTCCTGCTCTTTTAGTTTTTTTTATATTTTTTTTTTGGAAATTTTGCTTAAAATTCTTATAATGGCACGCTTTTCAGACCTTTGTACAGTGTGTTTGCAAAAAACTCACACCATCGACAAATTCACGAGTGCATATATTGTACACATACAACTAACCACATAACAATACGTTGGTGCTTGTTTTCCCACTTCACTTACTTGCTGCCATTGCATCTTTACAACCCAACTAAGAAACTCTCTCTCCAACCTTTTCCTAGCACACCGCCTTCACTCACACACATAACTTCTGTGTAAATGTGTTTATATTCACTATACTTAAACGGGCACTGTATATTCTGGATTTACGTAGGAGAAGCCCACAAATTCCGTTTGATCCAAATTCATCATAAATACTTTATCCGTTGGTGTCAAATCCGTTTTCTCCGATGTGAATTGCTTATCGAAATTCGAAACATCTTTGCGATGTTTCTGTGTTTTTGTAGAGGTAGGTGAGGTTTATATATGTGTGTGCGTTTATTTTAATTAAACGTAGGTTGAAGGTATTTGCATATTAATATTTTTTTTTCGTAGAAATATTCGGCAGCAATTGTCGGTAGCACGAAGTATATGAAAAAATAAAAATAAGTAAAGAGCAATATTAAGAGAAACATAATAATAATTTAAGCATGTTTTTCTTTCTAGGTAATTTTTAACATTTATTTGCTTTATGCCTTCACTTACAATTTTCGGCTTAAAAGGTGGCTGCACTTCACGATTCTCGATTTTCTCCCAATCTATGCGTCGAAAGAATGGATGTATACGCACATCTGCTTCACCGGTAGCTCCGCAACCGAGCCGTTTGTTGGGCTGTTTGGTGAGGAACTACAAGGGAAGAGAATAAGTTTTTTCACTTATTTTAGAATATTTTCAGAAATCAACCTTTAAAGAATAAAATATATTTTATACATCTGTTTCTTTGTAAATAGTGGTTGCAAGAAAGCAACCGAAGTGTTAGTCATAAGCAGTGTGACCACACTGCTTACGTAAATTATCGTGGGACAAGGCCCTCAATAGGGCATTTAAGGCCACTCCCAATCATCAACGAACTGATCGAACCATTCCGGAATGACTTTAGATCTGGTATATTCGCCATTGAATAGATATTCACCATGTGGCAAATCTCGGATTAGAGCTCTGAGGATCAGAGCTACAACAAAAGTATTAAAAAGTGTACTATTAAAATACAAATAATTAGATAATTATCTGTTACAGTAGAAATAATGCATTTCGTTTAGTTCAGAAGTGTGATATTTAACTCGAGCTTTGCCGAGAGGTTACTGATTAACTAAAAAATTCTTCAAGTCTCTATTTTTTGGCAAAAGAACTACTAGGTCCTGCTATGGACTGAGTAGGCAACTGGAGAGTGTAGTCCTCTCACGACGAACCAGAAGCAACCTCCATATGTTCCACATAATTTCTGTCTTATATATAGTTTGTGCTTGGAGATTTTCAGAGAATGGTTTTACAACCGTAAAAGACATACGATAAATATGGTGGCATAGTTCAATTAATAAAAATGCTTTCTATATTAACCTCTCAGTCATGTCGTCTAGATAAAGAAAAATAATCCATTTTCAAAACAATTTGAAGCTATACCCGCTAATGGTAGCAGAGTAAAAAGAAGACCTACACTCAGTTGGGAAAGGAGGAGTTTTAATTAATAGAACCGATACTATTTAAGAAAATGAATTAAATGCCAAAAATATTACGACTATGAGCAAGAAAGATTAATATACGACCGAAAGTCAAACTCGTAAAAAATATAATATATTTAGCCATACAAAAACTGTTCATGCCCAAATCTGCCATAATCAAATTTCCATTTAGATATTTATGGCTTAAATAAACTTTCAGCTTTTTACTGTAACGGTTGCAGAAAATTTGCAAGGTCATTTGAATTTAAACAAAAATAGCAGAAAAAATAATACATGCACTGAATGTACACACATACGGATGCGTATAAAATTTGTATGTAGCACATAGTCCACTCATATCTTCACTATGTCTCTTATGGGCCGAAAATTTAAAATTAATTTATGCCCAACAATACATGTGTGCATAATTAATGATGTACAGCATGAAAGCAACAGTAGCAGCAAACAAAAAAAAAAACAACCTGCATAAATAATAATACAAACAAAATATCAGTTGATAGCTTGAGGCTTAAAGCTGCCGTTGAAAAAAACTTAAAAAAATATAAAAATAATGGGTATAAGCACATTACAGAAGCAATTAATATTAAATATATGTATACATTGTATATTCATGTGACTCACCCCTTTGCACGCCTCTTTGGCCTCCTTGCTTAAACTCTTCGGATAGGAGACATTGTGATCTGTGATAGCAGCAAATAATTCCTCTTCATCTTCCCCATCAAAAGGTGGTTGGCCGACAAGCATTTCGTAGAGTAAAACGCCGTAGGCCCACCAATCTACCGATTTGCCATAGGGTTGATAGAGAATGATCTGTTTTGTGTTAGGAACGAGTGTTTGAGTAAATTTATTTATTACAGAGAAAAATTGTGATAATAAATTAAATATAAATATAGTAATTTTGCTATTTTATTATTTGTATTTTGATTTTGTTGAATCAATAAAGCAAATAAGGGGGAAGAAAAAAATCCCATACTAAAGGAACTAGTGGTAAGTACTTAATTAAAAGTGTTTCAGTTTTATCATTAAAGTGTTATTGATTTTAGTTCAAGCTACATATGAAATAAATTCAAAAGTGGAATAGAGTCGACAAAATCAGAAGTGGAAGAATTTAAAAATTTTTTATAACTGCAAATACACTATACACATAGTTTGGAGTAAATTTGAAACTTAAAATTTCACTTTCAGCGTTAGCTCGAACAATATATCTGTTAGCTTCCTAAAGCCACAGTAGATGCTATCTAAATTGCCTTGCAGGTAAAATTTTCTAAAGCAGCAAGTTTATTATTACACGAAATTTTCAGACCAAACAACACATTTTCTTAGCTTTCAACTAATTAGTTTTAGTACCCACTTTCGCCTAATGAATATACATATATAGTTTGTGCTTATCTTCGAAATGAAATCGAAATTTGTGACCCATTTAAGTATCTACAAGCTAGTCAAAACAAACAGCATATATCCAAAAATGCCCTTTTCAATTGCTATGCTTTCACAGGTACATAAGGTTGTCGCTTTACTCACCTCGGGTGCTATGTAGTCGGGTGTGCCGCAAAATGTCTTTGTTGTCTTATCGCCAAAAATATTCTCCTTACACATGCCAAAGTCGGCAATTTTAACATGACCATCGGCATCTAATAGTACATTGTCCAATTTCAAATCACGATATAGAATGCCTTTACTATGAAGAAAGAATAAACCGGCGGCAATTTCGGCTGCGTAGAAACTGTTGATGTAAATAAAAGAAAAGTAGAACATAAAAAGAAAAAAAAAAATTCAAGAGAATTGTGTAAATAAAATAAAGTAACGTTATAAAAATAAAATGAAATTGAAAAAATAAGTAGTGTAAATAATACACTGCCGAGATTGGCCACTTCACTAAGGTCAATCATTTGTTCAAAAGTCACTTGTCCGCCAAAGGTCAGTAAATATTATCCATAGTACATTTCGGAAAATATGTATTTTTCTTTGTTACACTCGAAACCAATGTTATACTTACACAGCTACGGGCTCTTTGAATTTTCCGAATTGTTGTATTTGAAACATTAAATCGCCGCCATTGACATACTCCATGACAAAGAAAAGACGGTCTAGTGTTTGGAAGCATGAGTGCAGCTGTACTAGGAATGGTGGTTTTTCGCCCAATGCCAATACGCGTTTCTCAATCATTGTACACTCCACATCATCATCCTGTATGATGACATCTTTTTTGAGTATTTTAATGGCATAAAGTTCTTCGGAGCCTTTACGTTCGGCCAGCATGACCTAAAGGAAAGTACGAAAAGTAAAAAAAAAATCAAATACTGCTTTAAATGTATTTATATTAAACTTGAAGATTCAAACAGCCAGCTATACAAAGAAATATCTTTGTCCAAAAGTCTAAATATTTATAGTCATGCATTTATTTCATCATAACATTGTAATAACAACGCTGTCATCTTTTATTTTTTCTCAGATTTTTTTTTATCATTTTCAGATACCATAATAAACTAAAGAAAATACTACAATCCCTCAACCTATTTTGCACTTTTTTCTCTCTACCTACTCAACATCCCCACTCACCTTGCCAAATGACCCTTTGCCGAGTACTTTAATAAAATTGAAATCCGTAGCACGTATCATATCCTTTTTGGATTGACTCTGTGAATTTGTATCGCTGCGCATTACCAACGGTTTCTTTTGTGATGATTTCTGTGTATAAGAAAAAATAACATAAATGACTGCAAACATCATAGTAGGTATCAAATAATATTTTCCAGATTGGCTTATTGGTTTTTTTTTTCTGAAATTTACCCGCATTTGACTCTTGAGTTTAAGTAGATCCTGTGTAGCATCAGCGCATGGTACATTATAGTATTCGCCCTCCTCCTGTGTGAGTAATTTGAACCAACCATCCGCGGGATTCTGGGAGAAATAGAGAAATATTGAAATGGAAATGAAGAAATGAAGTGTAAGCAAAATATCTCATACCAAAGGAACCAATGGTAAGTACTTGACTAAGAGCAGTTTAGTTATACCATTAAAGAGTATTGTATTTAAGTTCTGATATATGTAAAATTTAAAATAAGAGAGTCGACCATGTCGGAAGTGGAATGAAGTTGATGAAATTAGAAGTGTAATTAGAGATGTCAATTTTTTTATATTTTGAAAAGTGTATTGAGTTTTAATTTTAAAATTTGTGACAGGTGTTATAATCAGAAGAGGAATAAAAACTGCAGCACTTTTTCTAATACCTTTTAAGTGTATTGTGTTAAAACTTAAGAGCTTTTTAATTCAAAAGTGGAATAAAGGTTATGATTTCAGTAGTGGAATAGAAGTTCTTAAATTTATTTATGTCTGTAAAGTGTATTAGAATTAATTTTGTAGGCTTATGCAACTTTCTGATATTGAGTAGTGGAATAAATGTGACAAAATCGGAAGTGCTAAAAATCTGATTGAGTTTAACAACTAGAGTTGGAGGATGAAATAGAGAGGCATATTTATCAATAAATCCAGGTTCCTACCTAAATTCAATTCCACTCACCTTAATAATTTCGGAAATGCCAAAAGATAGAGCACCCATAAAGTCATTACGCGATGTACGATCCCAATCCCAGACCTCGATGAGTACACGGCGATCTTTGTCTTCCGGTTTAAGATCACTAAAGAGGAAAGAAAAAAATTTTTTTACAAACTAACATATGATATTTTAATGAGGAAGCTATCAAAAAGGGTGTAATTCCAAAAATATACTTTTACAAAGAAAACAATAAGATCGCAATAAAAAACTTTTCATACAAAACGCTTTTAATTTGTATAATATACTTTTTAATATCACTTGGGGAACATCTAAAAAACTCTTCTAAATACATATTATTATGTCTATTAATAATTACTCACTATTTGATGGTCTCATTCCAAACGGGATTCAGACATGCCTTAATGGTGCGCGTCTTCTTCTTTGACTTTTCATGCTCATCTGGAATTAGTTTGACCTTAACGTATGGATCACTAAGTCCATTTGGATCCATTGGAATGAGATTTCGACCCTCTTTGACTGCAATTGTGATGTGATATGATATTTGAATACACTCGTACAGTTATTTTTCTATCAAAAATATATTTTATATTTCGGTATCTCAAACTTACTTTGCACCGTCAGTAAATTCTCTTTCACATTCAATTCCAAATTGATGCGTCCACGACGTTCAGTATGATCACAACCGCATAAGCTCGGAACATTCTCCTTGCAGCGGGCATGTACGTTCATGTCACATGCTGTTGCGTCAAAATCCAGCGTAGCGTAGAACACATGGGTTTACAGGTGGAAAAGTTATACCATAAAAAAAAGTACGCATATATTAAAAATTATGTTCAAATCAGCATTTGTGTTGTATTTTGCATAAAAAAGGCAAAAGTTTTTGTAAACAACTTGTAGCTGCTATAAAGTTAAACTTTCCATTTTGCCTAAGTTGAACGCCAAGTGAAAGTGAAAGTGTAAAAGTAATAAAGAAAATGTTTATAAATAAAAAATAAAAAAAAAACAAATATACACGCACTCACAAAACATACATACTTACGCATTGTTTACAACCAATAAAAGACGCGCATATATTTAAATACAAATTGCTTGAATATTTAACGAACATACTTGTATGTGCACGCCCCGTACTAAGTAAAAATATGTATGTATATTTTTTAATCTAATATTTTATTCTTGCTATTTTTTGCTTACCTGTTTATTTCACACACTCCAAAATGACTGTGAGAAGGATTTTTATTTTTAAACATTTAAAAAATAATTCACATTTGTAAATAATCTTAGGTTAAGAACAGGTCTTTTATGACCTAGAAGAGAATACAATCGAACTTCCCTGATCACATGTTAAACTTAATAAATTTTAGCGCCTTCGATGGCTTTTTATTCGTGATGAGATTGTTGAAAAGGAGGATGGAGAATTGATGTTGAATCACTATCAGAGAAATTCTAATAATGTCGGCATATCTTTTGGGCCAAGTCATGTAAGTTTTTCTGAAGCGTGTGTCAGCTCGTTCCAAATAAGCAGTGATTTTTACTACTTCAAAAATTGAAGAGGCCCATGAAGGTATTTTGACTACTGAAAGGGAACGAAAAATCTACAATGAAGGGTCTTCTTATGGGCACATTCATTTACGTAAACACATGGAGAGGCTAGACGTTGTAGATAAGAGGAATTTCAAGGCACTTCTTTTGCGAATGCCTCCCACTTTGGATGAATCGGCTGAAGGGACGCAACCTCTAGAGACTTGAGTAAAATATCGGGCACAAAGATATGTCAATTGCTTCGTTTTGCCAACTCTAGCAGTGGTTTGACTAGCGAGTAGGGACTAATGAGAATAAGTGGTATTACAATGGGTCCGCCTTGTGATTTAGGTCAGTTGATGCCCAGTAGTCACTTCAATCTAATCTCATCTTACCGAATCTTGGCGGTCTTGCAGGGCTCTCCATCTGGCTTTCGGCTTTTTTGTTTTAAATTCCTTGTACAAATTATTTAGGGCTTTCGGTACATCTATTTCTTATTCAGTCGACAGTGTAATAGCGCATTGGAATAATCAGGCATAGGCTGAGTGGTTGTAAGAGTTCAAATTCAGCGTAATGGATTCGGTTATCTGATCCGTCGGTTATTTTTGATTCATCCGAGTAGATGTAGTAAGCTCCGTTGAGATTTCATGTCTCAATCAGGCTAAGGCCGAACATTCCCATAGGTTACGCTTCAGCGTTTCATCCTCCTACACTCGGCGGATTCCCTATCTCAGCTTTTTGAGACGATACCTTAGGGATAGATGCCCCATTAGTATATCTATAAAACAGCTAAGTTGTCTATTGCTTGGTTCTAGCAAAAAGTTTGTATGTCGGATGTTTATGCTGCCTCACAGTTGTTTAGTGATAATTCCCACTTTAGAATCGCTCCATGATATTAAGTGTAACCCTAAGTTCTGCCATTTTAAACAGCATTTGATGGCGCTGAAAAGGTCTCAGAGAGTCGATGGATACACTGGTGCCAGTGCGAGACAGCTTATCCATCTTTTCATTACCCTCCTGTGCGTAAGTAATATTTACTATGCTAACCCGTCAAAATCTGTTTATTGCTTCTTTACATGTTCTCACTTCTTGCGGTCACATTTAGTTGCCTTAATTGTTGCTAGACGGTCTGCAAGAAATAAAGAAGTAGCCCCTTTGTCGCCTTCAGTGACATCCACAATCTTTGCTTAGAAGACAGAGTTGTAGTTATTTGATTTGAACCTACCGTGACTTATGGGACGGTCACAGAAGAATCCTGCTAATGTGCCTGCCTCGGATTCAGAGCAATTAGTATTCAGAAAGATATCTTGCCTTTCTCCATTTTTCCCTGTTAGGTAAGGAGTATGTGGCTTGTACCTGACGGAGGGTTTCCTTTTCTTGGTCGCATAGCTTGTTAAACCTGAGTTCTCCTATCATTTTTTGTATGCCACCATGCCAATTGCAGTTCAGTGAGGCTGCGGCTCAATTATATTTAAATGCCTTATGATAAACTGGCAGTGCTGTTTCATAAGTCACTTTCATGTTAAATGACATGATGTCGAGGTTGACTCACAGGCCTTTGATGAGGTAGTTCTCACCTCGCCTGCCACGCCCAGTAAACATGTCTCTTGCAATCGTTCTAGAGATTTACCATACTACAGAGTGTGGTTGGTTACCATAGTAGGGTTCCTTATGTTAATTTAGGTCTAACGATACTTGTGTAAAGCCAATGTAGCTTTTGGGGTCGCAGGGCGTGATAGCTCTTCTGAAAGTACTGCGAATTTGAGCTGTCAATATGTTGTCTTCAGGTAAATTTTTTGTCAAGAATTACTCCGAGATATTTCACTTGTAGGTTCCCTACAACCTACCCAGCTGAGGTTTCATATGCATGCTTTTGATGCCGATTAAAATGTTTGCGTGAAGTTAAGATAGCAAGATCATCCGTACAAGCATATTATCTACAAGTTTTTCGCCAAAGCAAAGATTTTCGCTGTTGGTTAAATTTTTCATACTTCGCTTAACATAACCTCAATTATGTTCACGATATCTAAATGGCCTAAAGGTTGCTTCAAATTTTTCCCATTCAATTAGAGATAATTTCAATACGACCAGAATAATCTGCTTTTCCATCAAATTCTCTGATTGACATAATTGTCAAGCGAATTGCAATCAATAACGTTTCCAAAGTAATTTATACTCAGCGCGGAAATTGCGACGAGAGTCGGTAAAAACAGGCAGTAGTCAAAATGCAGCTGCAAAAGTTGTATCCTTCAGCAATTAGCACGTCATCAATGAGTGTATACGGTTACAAATTCATAATAAATCAATGGTAAATAAACTCGTTTAAATGCACAACGTGGGAATGTCACTTAAATGGCAAACGGAAATTATAATTTTTAGTGAAGTTGTTGTAGGAAATAGTGATATTAAAAATTGTTTTGTTGCTTTTGTTATTATTTGTGGCATTTATTGCAATAGTATTGTAGTATTTATTTCATGCAACAAAAAACAACAAGCTTTTACCTGTTAGTAGTAAAGTTAGGTTAGAGTGTACAAAATCCATTTCACCATAACCTCAACACTGTTGCCTTGCAATGCAATTGTGCACACTCCATTCAATTCATAGCGATTTGATTAGTTTCCAGTCGTGCGATGAGTGGGAATTTTGTGCGGAAATTGAAAGCTCAATGAAAAGCACGAGATTTATTTTTCAACTAGGCCAGTGTAGCTACACTCTACTCTGGGACGTGTTGACAGTAGAGCTTGCAACAGGTCGTGCATGTTGCAAATACTATATATAGGTATATATATTTTTAGCAAAAATAAAAATATATTTTTTTTTAAATTTATTGAAAGCCCTACACATGCTTTATTGTCACACTTGTTCCATTCATTGTCATGGCGGTTTGAGAAAATTAAAAAGAGTGAAATAAGAATAAAATATAGCTTTAGCTTTTAGCTTAAATTATTAGAGCATGTCTAATGTGCATTCAATGTTGCACGAGGCTTACAAATAGGTACGTAGTTATCTAACCAACTAGTTAAAAAAAAATAGAAAAAGAAATATTCCATATCGTTATTATGAGTATAAAAATATTCAACGTAGCAGTTGGCTTATTAGTAAAATGAAGAGGGAGAAAGAGAGAGAGAGCGTTGCAAAATAGCAAAAAAAAAAAATCTGCCGCATAAGCAACAAAGTGCCTTTATATTGTAGTTTGTGGCAAAAGCAGAATGGCATAAATAGTCAGTTGTTAAATAGCGTGTACATAATGGACAACGTAGAGTAGCTGCTTGCCATGGTATTACATAAAATTCATCAAACGAATGGCTTTTCACGTGACTAAGCAGATGTCTATCGGACGGCATATAGTGACAAAGCAAAATGGTCATAAAAGTAAGAGTAAAGCACACTAATGAGTGTTAAAGAAATTGTATAAACAAATAGATTCTAAATGTAGAAGAATACTTGAAATTGAAAGGAGGTTTGGTATGATCAAAAATGAACTTTGGGATTTGTTCAGTTGAGTTTGTTTGCAAATACGAAATCTTCATACCAGTTTTTTACAACTTTTTATGAAAAAAATTATACCAGTTTTTAAACTAAATTTTCAAATAGTTTTTTATGCCAACCCGATGTCAAATCGATTGTAAGCAACAACGAAATTGTTTACCAGTTTTTATACCACAATTTTAAAAACAAATTTTTATACCAAATTTTTAAACAATCTCTTTTTTTTACACTTTTTTGTATGTTAGTAGTATTTTATATATTTTTATACCTCATTATTGTAGAAATTTTTTTATATCAGCTGTTTTCTGTATTTTTTACCAACTTTTTATTAGTTTACATTTATGTTTTTAATCCGCAAATTTTAATATAATTTTTTTCTATCGGATTTTTTTTTACAAAATTTTATACCAAAATTTTATACCAAAATTTTATACCAAAATTTTATACCAAAATTTTATATCAAAATTTTATACCAAAATTTTATATCAAAATTTTATATCAAAATTTTATATCAAAATTTTATACCAAAATTTTATACCAAAATTTTATACAAAAATTTTATACCAAAATTTCATACCAGAAGAGTTAAAAAAAATTGTGTATCCGTATATATTCTAAGGGAAGAAGAATTCTCGGATTTGAAAGTAAGAAGGTGTAGTATTTGGTGTAGTATGAGCAAAAATGAACTTTGAGATTTGTTTAGTTAAGTTTGTTTGGAAACAGGTT